ATCTAGTGAGAGACCTTCATGTAAAGGTCTCTCATGATTTACCCCAAGTAAATCAAGGACAGGGCTAAAAAAGAAAACTACAGCTCCTTAGGAACAGTAGGGGCTCTATACACATATTCTGAAAGCACAATCTTATACTATTTAAAACTATCTATTTATAAAGTCTTCATGGATCTTTAAATATGAGAGGCACTTCAAAAATTAGCTTGTCTTACAGACATTGTTTATCACAAGAATAATGCTGCAACATTAGAAAATCAAACCAACAACCATTAGCAGTTAACCATCAGTTCAACTATTAGTTCTGACATCAGGAGAAAGCTGTGTTTTGACTCTACCCAGTGCTTAGAAGTTCACTGCAGTCACAGGAGAGGAATCAGGCACTAAAATGGCAGGCAAGGCAAAACCCTTTTTTTCCCCAGACCATTTCAAGATAAGGTTTAACCTATCATACTTATTACACGTAGCAAGAAACATGAGAAGTTTAAAAAATATTTTGTACAGAACAAATTATGTTAGTAGGTCTACAGCAGTCTCAGAAGTCTCATGATGCATGACAGTGTGATACAGTCCTGTTCCACTGACCCACGTGCATCCCTGCAGGGGTGTATTCACCCGAATGATTTACAAATATGGAATCACTATCATTTGAAACAGATATGTTATTTATTAATGCAATATATACAGATCCAGCTTTGGGAAAATCAATCTTCTTTCCTAATCCAACTTAAACACCTGCTGTTGTGGCAAATAGAAACCACTCTAATATACAACCAGCACCAGCCAAACGCAGCTAATGAAAGGATATAAAGCGAGGTCTATGCTTTAATCGTTATTACGATTAGAGCTGCTGGGAGGACCCGAGGCCACACTGCAGGCACAGCCTAAGAGGCTCTCGGCTCAGCACTCCCCGTTCAGATGAGCGTGTGCACCTGCCCTCTGTTTCTCGGCGAGCAGCGGCCCCGCCGCACCCAGCGCGGCTCCACAGGTCCTGCTCGGCGCCGGCGGCGGGGCTGCGCCTCTCGGCCGGTGCCGGGGCCCGGGAGGGAGGCAGCCCCTCCTGCAGGTACCGCAGCCCCGTCCTCTGTCACTGCAGAGACAACCCGGCCTTCGAGGCCCCGGCCCCCGGCCTGGGCGGCGGGAGCGGAGCAGAGGAGGGAGGGCTGCTCCCGCTCCGCTCCGCTCCGCAGCGGCCCCGGCCCGGCCCTTACCGATGCACCGCACGTAGTGTTTTGCAGGAAGTTTCCACGCTCCTGGGTTTAATGCGTGCAAAGCGGGGCTGGAGAGGAGCGCGGCTGAATAGCGATGGAAAGGGGCGGGCGAAGAGGTGGAGGAGGAGGCGGTAGCAGCAGCGGCCGTGTTTAATTTTTTAATTAGGGCGGTTTGAGCATCTCCCGGCGGAACCGCATCACCGGGCGGCGAGGGGAGCCTGGGCGAGCTGCCCCCGCCGCCCGGGACCACCCCGAGCCGTCGGGACTCCAAGCTGGGCTTTCGACAGCCGGCGAGGCGAGCCGGAGGCGCGGGGAGCTGCGCGCTCCGCTACCATGGGCAGCGCGGGCGCGGAGGACAAGGGTTCGTACGCGGCGGGGCCGGCGGGCGGGGCGCGGGGCTGACCTTGCGGCGCCGCCCGGCCCGGCACGGCCCGGCGGGGGCAGAGAGGGACGGAGGGAGGCAGCCGGGGCGGCGGGGACAGTAGGGCAGGGCAAGCGCCCAAATCTGCCTTCCCCGGGGTAACGCGGCCGGTGAAAGCGAAGGCTGCGCGCCATCCTACAGCAACAATTGCTCTGCAGGTGCTCGGTCTCTCTCAGCCTCCATCCTCTGGGAAGCAGGCAACACTTTTCCACATTCCCAAGTTAAGGATGATGCTAGTGAATGTTTTCTTTTCCTGCATCACTATATTATCCAAATCTAGTTCACTTATATGAATGAATTCACAACACAGCAACTCTCATCCAATGAAGGCTCCAGGCTCATATATTTGTTACAGATAAAATCTTATTTTTGCAATTCATTCCTTGTTAGAAGGCTGGAAGTGTCACTGCTCGGCTGCTGTGCTTCTTTGCGGGGGAATGCTATTTATGTGAAAAAGTGTTGCTTGCACCCTGAGTTACCATGCTGCAAAAACACTGTGTGGGGCTCTCTTTGCAGAGCTGTGAGTCATGCATTCATTTGCTAAGCATCCATGCCCTGGCCTTCCGACCTTCACCTCCCTGAGTGTCTTACAACCCATACCCTGAAGAGACAATATTGTCCCCAGCAATTTAGAGAATACAGGCATGCAGTGAGCACATGAGTATGACAGGTCGGCTGTGTGGTCACCGTGCTCCTTTTGCAACATTTCTGGCCATGTGTTGTTAGGTAGCTCACACTCTTCAGAGAATTCCATATTCATGCTGATTTCCATTTTTAGTCTATTTTATAGGACTTCTCCATTTTAATCTTTTACCACCTTCTATGACCAATTTCTGTAATAGCATTTCTGGAATATAGTTTTGTTTCCCTGAACAGATAGTTAAGGGCAAATTAGGTGCGTCCAAAGCTCCCAGAGAAGGCCTGTTTATATGTCCCTTTCCAAGTTTGGTTTGCTGTTACTCAAGCACAAGCTCAGGACTGAAGCTATTCAAAGTACTTTCAGAATGACCACATCCATGAACCAGCAGCTGGGCTGCAGACATCCAAGAAGAGAACAGATGGCCACTGATGTGGTCAATTTTGTTACAAACTGTCATGTAGGACGTGAGTTTTTAGGCACCTGAGGCTTAGTCCTGCCAAGAGGATGAATGCTCCCAGTTTGAGATCCTGTAAAGATATTAAATTCCTGAGTACTGAGCTATTCTAAAAAAATCCTGTAGGGGGTTCTGTGAGAGAAAGACTGAAACCCAGAACACCAGGAAGATTATCCTGGTTACTTTCTTGATCTCCTTAAGTCTCTCTGCAAACCTGAGAGTAAAGGCTAGGTCTGAAAAAAATGACACCCTTTCACCCCAAATCACCAAATAGCTGGGATCTTCAATCCACACCAAACACTAGCAAAGTTGGGGTGGTGATTCTGCTGAAACAGGAATTTCAGCATCTTCCTTCCAGCTGCCTCACAATACCTAGTACCCGTGGTGTTCCCCTTTATCTCCCATAGGTGCAACCAGCACCTCCAGCTCATGCCTCTGTTTTTCTTAGCTCAGTCTTTAGCTGTTTTCCTCAATCATATTTTCTTTAGGACTCTGTTTGTTTCTTCTTGCCTCAGAAGGACTTCCAGTGGCCTTTTATTTCACAGCAGGATGTTAAGGAGCCTTAGTTTTTGCCAGTGCTTATACGAGTAATGAATCAAAGGAGGAGAAGAATCCTGACCTGTAAAAAAAAGATCAAGTTCTGTCTGGGGCAGCCCCCACAAAATGGCTCTGCAGATTATAAATGATACAATGCCTGTCCCCATGATGCTGTCCTAAAGGCTATCTTTGAGGATTTTGGGATCCAGGCCAGGTTAGTTAGCATTCACAGTCTTCTGACTCAGGACTTTGACAGATACACTGCAGCAAATGAAAAGGTATCTTGCCTAACTGGGAGAGGATCTGTGTGCAGCACTAAAATGCGAAAGCAATAAAAGGTACCATGGCTTTGGGGATACATAATTAGAACAAAATTTCCTGTGAACTCTAAGGCTTCAATTACAATTTCTGAAATTCAGGACAAGGAACAGAAGAACACAAAGCTGCACATTAGAGTTTCCCAGAATCAATCCCCCCCAGGCAAAATACACAGTTTTCTCATGCAAACTTTTGTTAAATAAGACTAAGATATCAATTTCTCCACATTTCAGCATCAATCAGGCTTTGCACAGAGATTTGTCCCATAATGTCTCCTGACAAGCACATAATGGACAAACAAATCCCATCTAATTCCAGTTTGTAAGCTGCAAAATTAGTAAGACTGGAAGTCACAATCTTGGAAAATTACTCTCTGTGGTGAAGAAATGTTATGTCAAACACAAACATATTTGTCTGGACTCAGCTCAAATTCAGGGTTCTCCATGGCCAGCCTACCCCTAACATTCTTCTCAATGTCTTTCAAGAGAGAAACTGGGTTTTTTGGGTCTGGCTTTTCCAGGTAGTGACTATGCATAATTTTCCCGTATAAGTCTTGTTTTTAATTTTTATAACCCAGTACCCTATGACTTTTGGAAAGTAATTTTTTTTCCTTGACTGGTTTTTGCTCAAATCAACTGACTTCTAACATTAATTTGTGATATTGAACTTTCTGTAATTTTTTTTCCTGCAGAAGGTCAAACTTAATAGAAAAATTTGAAGTATGCCCAATGAAAATCCATATTGCAGGTGGGCTTTACCTATGATGTATTTTCAGAAAATGAATATTGCTTGTTGTTGACATTATTTCTAATTCCTATAGTCTATATCTGTATCTTTCTCCCAGCTTAACAGGAATTAAAACAGCATGACTCAAAGAGCAGAATATAATTCAAAACAAGGAAGGATCTCATACACAGGTCTATAGAATAAACAGAATATTGTTGTTATGCTCTGGTAAATGTTTAAAGACTAACAGGAAAAATTATTTACTATCTACTATACTGAGGTTTATTGCAAAAACAACAACAACAAAAAAACAACAACAACATAGAACCCCTGTGTTTTGCCCTTCTGATCTTGGTTCTGAAATTTTTGTTCTTTAGGATTATAGTCAAAAACCCCACAAATTTTGAAGTTAGAAAGGAGACACCAAACAAGATAAAAGCTCTGTCCATTTCTGTCTGATCGGGAATACCAAAAGTTATTTTTACTTTTTCTGTTGTTTTTACTTGTGGGCTGACTCAGAGTATGGCTCCCCTCGGCCATGGCTACAGTACAGAGTAGAGACACTGGAACTCCCTTTAACCTGGCTTGGCAGTGCAGGTACCTGAAGCAGTGTAGCCATGGCAGCACAGAGCTCTGAGTGGCCTAATTACTCTGCCAGGAAATAAATGGATACTGGCAATTCCCTGGGGAAAAAGAGGTTGAATTGTTAACAAAAAGAGTTTCCTCTGAGGCACGTTTGTTAAATAGGTGTTAGCAAGAGCCAGCAAACCTCAAGTTCTAACCTTAGAATAAAAATGTCTTTGTCCTTTGGCACTTTTGATGTCCCAGCCTTGCAATTCTCCCACTGTCTATAGGTACAAAAGAAAGATATGATTCCAATATCTGGTGGAAAACCTAAAATAAAGCAAATTATCCCCAACTAAAATCAATAGGTAAGATCTCCTTAAAAAGACAAATATAAGAAGTTTTTCCTTTCTGGAAATATGCAGAGCTCTCCTGGTGGCAGCAGCGGGGTGGAGTTTCTTGAGCATCCTGCTTGCCTAGGACACACATCAGGGTCAGGCCCCTGAGCAACGCGAGGAGCACGGGCAGATCTCCTGTTCACTGTGCCTCTCAAAATGGCAGGGTATGTATGGGGAAGACCAAGGAGAAACAAAGTAGAGCAAGATTTAGGGGAAACGAATTTAATTTTGTTATCTCTTCTTCCACCAATCTTTACTCATACAGAAGAGTGGACATGTATAGAGAAAGGTGAAGGAGTAATTTTAGCAATCTGCTCACTTTCTTACAAGCTCACACAGCATTTTTTTTCTCAAACTGGAGCCCAAGCCTTCACTAAAATTGCACACACGGTCTTTTATTTTATAAGTTGGATCTATTTATGTAGACTCTGAGCTAAATCAAATGAGTAAAATCCACATAATTTAGCTGAAATTTTCTTTGAGGTCAATGCAAGTTTAACTAGTTTAAGCACAGAGATGTAAAGTAATTTCAGGAAATATACCAGGTTTCTGCATGTGAAGACCATAGAAAGTATTGCCAGATCACAATCTGTAGACTTATGCCCAGTCTGACAAAATGTTGTTTGCAACAACTGAAATTTCTGTTTTGAGGAGACAGAAAGCCAGAAAATTGTGAGTCTGCTGTCTCAAAACAGAGGCCAGTAGGTGAATGGTGTGTAGAGGCTAATAGTTGTGATTTTATCACATTAATTTAAACATGAAAAAACAACAGGACAGTTCTAAAATCCAAGCTGGTTTTCATTTTCAAATGTTCATATGCTACAGCTCAGATGTATGCACCCCATTTAGAGCTAACCACACTGATTTGATGTTTCTATGCAGGCAAAGAAGCAATAGAGGTGAAAATCCCACAGAGCCACCAGGATGTGATGCCCAATGATGAGCAGTAATTACTGCAGCAACACTTCAGCCAGCATGAGTGTCAACGAAATGTCCGCCTTCCCTCTGACTTTAGAACAAAAAACTGGCTTTGCCTTTGTGGGGATTTTGTGTGTTTTCTTGGGACTTCTAATTATCAGATGCTTCAAAATCTTGCTAGACCCCTACAGCAGTATGCCTTCTTCCACATGGGAAGATGAAGTTGAGGGGTTGGATAAAGGGACATTTGAATATGCTCTTGCATGAAAACTCACAGAATATCCTGCCTTAAATTTGATATTGATTTCATTCTGGAAACCAATTATTGTTACATTTGTTATACATACCTGCATTTTGGAGATATGTTGGTGGCATCCATTTTGTTAAATAAATATTTGTTGCAAACTCAAAAGGTACTTCATTTTGCTTTTATTTGATGAACAGTGGAATGGTGGACAAGAAATGGCTAACAGCAAACAAATACACAAAAAAATCACTAGAAAGTTACCATGGCCAGTATGTTAAGGATCAGATGAAACCTGGCTCTTCAGAGGAGGATCTGATGTCTACTGTGTCTCATGACAGGCTGAAGAAAAAGACAGGCTCATGAATGGTGAGTGTTTAAGTGGTAGCCCCCTACCCTCCTCATCCAACATATTTTTCTGAAACTCAGTGTCTATACTTGTACACTGAAGATACAAAAGTGGAGGACAACAAATAGCTGTGGCTTAGAGGAGATGTCTGCAGTAGGTGTGTGTCCATGTTTTTATTCCACTTGGTTACAGAAGATGATTCACTTTAAAATGGAACTGTCTGGTTACCAGCTGCCAGCAGGAATTCCACCAGTCTGGCAAGGCCAAAGCAGACAAATTCATGCTGCTTACCCATTCTTACCAAGCCCCCAAGGAGGGATGGGGCCCAGAGCTGTACACACCAGCACTCTCCACAGCTGGTTCTTCTGTTTGTGCTCCTGCAGTTGTACACAGTGTATGATCTGGACTGTCACTGATGAACTGGTCATGGGAGATCCTATCAAAGCAGAACTGAAAGAGCAAAAGCAGAGACTCAAATCTGGGTGTTCAAGGTCACCCTCACACACACAGCTGTTTAGCAAGTGTGACAGTACTTGACAGAAATTCAATTCCGTTTTTAAGAAGGCTGGCATTAGAATTGTAGGCGCTGTCACTTTTGCTAAACAGATCTGTTTGCAATGAGGAGCTAAGACAAGGAGATCAGTTACAGAAGTTGTTTTCTTTTTCATGTATTTTGAAAAATACGTGTTATTCCTTTTGCCCTATATACTAGGCAGAGGCAGACAGTGGAACAGCAGACCTCAAGTGACATTTGGAACATAAAATACTCAATTGTACAGAGAAGGACATGAATCTCTTGTCTGAAAAATACAAGAGAGGAACAGCCAATATTAATCTACATTGATCCATTTAAATTATAAAACATAAATAATTTTGTGAATGTAAGGGCTTTCAACTGCTTCAGATTATACATAAGAAAAAATTCCAGACTCTCAGAGATTCAGTATATTGCATTTATCCTAGTTAATTTAGCCATAAAATCCAAGGTAGATATCAGTACAATGATTCATGTGATCTGTTATTGCTGAATAGGATCATCCACTGCAGAGACCTGACACTGCCATTCTTTTTATGTACATCTAATCAGCACAGCTGAGCTCTAGGCTGTCAGGTTAGAGTGCTGAAGATACTTAAGTTATCTGGGTTAAATATAGTTCAGTTATCTCTAAACTACACAGAAGACACTGCAAACATATCCAAATAACCCCAATATTGTCTTATTATTTTTGTTATTGAGCTAATCTATTGCTGGAAGCAATTATCTAATTCCCTTCTAATTACAAAGTTTCATCATTTCCTGCCTGCTCTTTTCTTCATCCCAAAAAGACTAAGAAGTCAGCCTTCCCAGAAACAATACAGAGAACATCATTTTTCAAAGACTGCTTAAATATAAAGAGTAAAACTTTAAATAGGGTCAGGAGTAAATGGTTTGAAACCTCCTATAGGACAAGAGGACGCCCCCCAAAGAATGATCCTACCGATTTCACTGAATCTTCTGCATAAAATGCACTGATCAGATCCTGTCCTGAACTCTTGTTATCTGCATGACTATATATGCAGAACTGAAAGATAGAGAGAATATGATCTGTTCAGAATCAGGCATAGCTAGGAGGGAAATGGAGATAACAAAAGTATTTTCAGGCCCCCCTAGAAATTTCGCAATGCCATAAACCCAGTAATTGTAATGGATAGGTACATTTGCTGGTTAAAAGTTAACAAGCTAGAATGCCTTTCTAAATCACCATCTAGAAATGTTTTGAAGGAGAGGGATTGGATGGTCTCTTCAGTATATTAAACAGGAGAAAAATCTGGCCAATAAGGCAGAGTCTGTAATGCCTCAAAGAGAGGGTCACACTATATGCATGAATAAAAGAGGCAGATTGTCCTTCCCTAAAAACACAGGATTGAATGGTAAGTTAAATTACCCTGAATAAGGTAAACTTGATTATTTATGCATAATGCTAGAAAACTAAACACAAAGTTAATGGCAAATATCAGTTCAGAGATCTCTGGAAATATATTGTGAAAAGTACTATTTTCAAGAACAGCAGAAAGGTAAGAGACTTTACTTTTCCTAGCAAAACACTAATATGGAAATAAGACAGTGAAATGACAGAATCATTTTACTTGGTAGCAAAATTTCATTGTCATCAAAGAATCAGGATTTCATTCAGTCTTGGAGATAGAAACAAGCATAGTTTCACTGACCTCAATGACAGAAGATTTGTTTTTGCTCCTTCATGCCTGAAGATGAAACACTTTCTTGCAACTTTAAGGCTGAAGGAAGCAGAATACTATGATCATAAATGTGTACTACTACTACTAATAATAATAATGTAATAATAATAATTATAATAATAATAATACAAAGCCAGTAGAAGTAAGATTAAATAAATAAATGTAATATGTTGCTGTGAGGCTTACACAACATTAAGCAGGAAAACGAACATAAATATGAGGGGTGACAAAGTGGTGTCTTAGCAGAGAGGTGACAGCAGAATATTACCTATAGCTGGTGGAAGAAATAAGAAAATATGCTTTAGCTGTATCTCATACTGAAGATGGAGGACATCCGATTATCAGCTCTTCAAATTATAATTTGGATATGTGATTTAGAGAAAATTTACATTTGCTGAGCTATAAATATTGATGCCCTATTTTATCTTTCAGTGCCAAAGGACCAAAAGCATTTCACAAAATCATTGAGAAAACGAAATTGAAAAAATCTTAGGAGTTCGTCTAGTCCAACCTCTTGCAAAAATATGGAACTTTAAAAAAATGTCTGTAATGGGCTTATTTATCCAGATTTTCAGGCCATATATTTGTTTGTAAGATATATTTTGTTTCTAAAACTTTCTGCTTTTACAAATGCTTGCAGGGTTTCATGTCTAAGCATGCTCTGGTTTAGTGCCTTTGAACAAACTGGGCTCCTACTGAATTACACAGGTCTATACAACCACACTCCCTAATCTTAGAAATATATTTCAAGACATATGATTGCCATCATTTCAGTAGCTCATTTCAGGGCTTTCTAAGCCATGCTTTAAATTGCTGCAAAGGTATTTAACCTACTAAAGGCCTTAAATATACGTACTCCTTCTCTTGGAGTTTTTGTTTGCTCATTTGTTTTCTTTGAGGAGATCTGTGTGGGATAGAGGAGGTGAGAAGCAGTTTATACAGCTGTGTGTTCACCTCTCTGTGGGCTGCTACTCAGGGGGACCTAGACAGGCCAGAGGAATGGGCCCGCAGGAATCTCCTGACATTCAACAAGGACAAATGCAAATCCTGTACCTCAAACAGATTTAACATCTGCACCATATAGGGAGCAAGGAAAGTACTGGGGGAGCAGGCTACAGAGGAGCAAGCCCCATGCTATCCATTGCATGATCATGTTCCAAGCTTGTGTACATGGATGCTGACCATGTCCCCCTGCTCTTTTGTGGGTTTTCATAAAAGAGACTGAAACTAGAGGAGTTCTTGGCTCATTTACAGCTCAGGCCTTTACCTCCTCTGGAGCTTGTACCAAAATATTGCTGGTTTGGTTAGAGGGTCAAGTGCATCCATCAAAGATTGAATATCTTCACAAGCTCTGTCTTTGCTTCAACTATGTTTTTACTCAGTAAGTCATAGGATGACAGTCTCATGGATACTTGGTGAGGCAGAGGAGAGGGGAGAGCTTGTGGTGGAAAACTTACCTAACCATGCAAGATAATAGAAATAGTTTATTTATATCTTTTATAGCAGAAAACCGGCAGCCAACATCAGAAAAACTGCTTAAAGATACAAGAGAAAATTCTCAGCCCTTCATTATTTGAGAAGCAAAGATCTGATATGCAACAGCACTAAACCCTTTGCTGCATCTGCAACTGAGTGGCTGCAGCCACAGAACACAGATCAGTGACCGAAGTCTGTAACATCCCTGAAGATGTCAATGAACAATGCACCAAACGTGTTCTTGGATGCAAATGCAAATCGGTTTCAAGTTAACATAATTAATGAAGACAATGACAACAATGAAACAACCCAAGAGGATGTGGGCTCTGACCCACCACATTATGAAGAAACATCTTTTACTGATGAAACACATAACAGACTAAGAATCAGTTACAGACCAGGAAAAAGAGAATTATATGACAATTTCCGTCAAAATGGGGAGAAAACAGAAGCTAGCTTACATCCCTATGATACTCACAGTAAAATGTATTATCTACAGACTTTTGGCCATAACACAATGGACCCAGTTCCCAAAATTGATTATTATAGAAACACTGGCAGTGTCAGTGGGAATAAGCTCAACAGACCAAGCTTATTAGAAATTCATGAACAACTGGCAAAGGTAAGTGAAAATGAAAGATAAAATTTTTCTCTATTCCATTTCCAGATTGTTAATTCTGTTTATTAATAAGAGAAAGTCCTTAAATTCATGGACCTTGCCCAAGAGAAGTACAACTAACTACTTACCATATTTCCTTTGGTAGCTTCAGTTTGTTCTCTGCTCTGTACCCTGCCCAAAGAAAAAATTTTTATTAAAAGGTAATTGTAACATACTTGAAGCAGAAAACCATAGCTTAATCTTGTCTAAAAGTATGGATCTACCAAATCTCTTCTGTTTCACATAAGAGTCAGGATGGCAGATGGTGAATGTCAATTCATAATTTAACCAAGCTACACAATTCACACTTACTCTAAACTTGAATTTTACATCAATGCATAACTAATTTTGACAGATTCCTCTGTTGTACGCATTAACAAATATAAGTATTATAAAAAAGATTACGTGAAACAAATGCAATTTCAGTTGATCAGATATCCAGAGCACTACTTGTTTGTTGCTGTAACAAACCCAGATAGCAAGAAAGAATCAAGAACAAGGGTGTTGAGGGATAGCAGACAACACTTTGCAGGTGCTGATTCAGTGAATAAATTTGAGGTTAATTGTGCACCTATCAGGGCAGGGCTGGAAAGAGAAATATTGCTATAGTTAAACTGAGACAAAAAGTGTCAATATGCAACAAAAACTCCTTTTATTTGAGTTAGGCAATTGTGAAATGAGAAAACTTGAGAGAAAACAAGCTCTCATCCCCATACCGCTCAGTTTTTCATACTTCTGAGGTCTGAATAATTTGGACAAGCTTCTGATTTTTGAATGCTGGTCCAGATTTTGTTCAGACTTCTGTTCTCTGGAGATTCCTCTTTCCTATGGAGGGTTACTATAAAGTAATGAAATCAAGAAAAAATATAGCCATTAGTAAATTAGGACCTGATTCTTTAGGGTCTTATTAGGGCAGCTTCCTAGTTTTGGCCTGACTTACTCAAATTAAGCTCTCCATAGACCTGTGTAAAATAGCTTAAAAGGAGAAATATTTCCAAAGATGAAAACAAAGCAGATAGGAAAAAGGAAACATACTAATTTAGTATCCCTACTCATTTGCAGATGTACAAGCTGCTACTCAAAAGACTAAACACATTTCCACACCCAGAGAAATTTCTTCTTATTGAAATAATTTACTTCAGTATTGGCTAGATAGGAATAAAACTGTATCTTGTCTTTGAACATAATGTTGAATGAACATGTACTGAACATCAGCATATTAAAGTATTTTCAATTTTGATGACAACCAGAAATTTTGGGGTTTTTTACTGTTGTATCTCTCAATGGTTTGTATTCTTAAAACAAAATTAGATAATTTTTTTAGGGTTTTTTTACAGCTTTCACTTAAACATGATTAAAAAGAAGGCAGATTACATAACAGAATAAAATGAAGAGAAAATTGTTTCACATGTTGGGACTGTTAGAAAAAAGAGAAAAGAAATCTAACTTGGAGATTTACAGACTTTTTCCAGTATCCAGTATCCATCTTACAGAAAGATAATCTTTTGCCTTTCAAAATAGGAAGGTGAATGTCATAGGTAATGGGATTTTTGTTACACTGGCAACCTGCTGTGCCCTTATGTGGGTTGTGGCCCTGGTCTGGGAGCACAACCACAGCTCTGGAACAAACGATGCCCCATTAGCATGGCTGGAGCCCATTCCTGGCTGTCCCATGATCTCACTTGGTGACCTTGGACAAATCACTTCGGTCTGCAGAGCTTTTGCTGAAGAATAAACAAACACGAGGTCACCAAATAGGAGCTTAGTAGGAAAGGGAATTGAGCTGTCAGGAAAGGCAGAGGTCCCCTCAGGAGCACAGGCTGTACGTGTGCTGGATGGGATCCAGCCCCCGGCAACGAGGGGAGGAGATGCCACACTGAGCGTGGACAGCAGTTACAGTAATAGCCCAAGGTGCATTTCTGAAGCAGATGCTTTATTCCCTTTTTACTTAACCACTAAAATCTGGGTTTACCAAACCATACCCCAAGGCAATCCCACCCCTCACCCCCGGTTTGAAACTCAAGTATTTAAGACAACTATTCTGTCAGAGCCCATTGCAAGATTCTGATAAGAAGTGGCATATGTTTGACTTCAGATTGCTAAACATCACATAAGCATTCCCATTGTGCTTTGATGCTGGGCTTAACATCAGAAGATAGATATTAATATTTAATACATTTTTTAATATGTAATTTTTCAAATGTCAGATTGTAAGACAGGCTGAAAGGAACTTCAAATATCTAGTTTCCACACTGCTGGAGTCAAATGTGTGTCATCTTTTAGCAAGATGTGTCAGTTTTTGCACACATTAAGCCAATTAAATCCCTAAAAAATAGTCTAAGTGCTATTTCATAGCTGATGGCTGGTGATAATTACTTGGGCTTAATATTTACCCTACATAAGAAATAATCTAACCTTTCTTCCTCTTGGCTATTCTCCACACTTGTTATGGAGATTTGATGAGCTCATCATCTTTAGCCTCAGGAGAGATGAAGAAAAAAACATTCTGAAACAAGGAAAGGAAAATGTTTGGGTTAGTGCTTTTTTTTTTTTTTTTTAAGCAGTTAACTTTTTATTTTAGTAGCTTTTCAAAATGTTCTGTCACTTTTATTCCACATCCTTAATGCATGAGTAGCACAGGTACAGCTGCTTGGTAAATAACCAATCATTCACTAAAGCACACCAATTTAAAATGCATTTATGGAAGGTTTAAGGCCATAATTTATGATAATGGCATAGAGAGCACAAATTAATTCAAAGTACAGAGGAAACAACTTGTTTCAAGTACAAAGACCAAACCCTTCTAATGTTTTGTCTTTGAAATTCTAACCACTGTAGCAAAAGCCCATCATATTATTCTGCTGATCTTCCTTCATTGACTTCAATCATTTTGAGCAAACAGAGACATTATTATTTCAGGGTAACAATCGTCAAAGTTATCTAAATATCTCAAAAGAGCTCAAAGTCACAGACTTTCAACAGATCTTGTACTCCCACTTTTCTTTGGGCCAACAGGACAATAGACACCAAGTTTAGCCCATGTCAAAACATATTATCCAGTCACTTATTTTTCATTTGTGAGCACAGTCTGGGATTTACTGTGTCAAAGGCATTCTAAAATCTTACATCATTTTGGCTAGAGCACCCACTGGGGGCAAGTCCAAACATTAGTGTAAGAGGCATACACAGTTAGTCTTTATGTCTGTTTTGGGTTTGTGTGTTGGCTATTTTTAAATTTATGGACAAAATATAGAAACAACCTTAAAGCTAAACAAGATTTAAAATCTCATGTTTCACAGAATCACAGATGTCTTTCCTCCTTGACCTGCTTAATTAATCTGGAAGTATCTTCATCACCCTCCAAAGCCTAAAAGTATCTTGATTCTTCTCCAGGAGTGGTTCCCACTCCTGACTCTCTGCCAGACTACAGCAACATGCAGGGTCCTTCCTGAAGGCCTTTGAGGAGGACCCAGAAAAATCAGACAATTGCTAACCTATAATGCCAATTCCTCACAGAAACAGTGAGAGCTCTGAATAAAAAAAAATACCATTAAATTAAAAGACAATTACAATGAGTATAAATCCCAGCACCACGACTAATTCCTATTCAAGCCACAAGAATCATATCATGGGACTAAATTGTCTGAAAGTTCTGGGGCAAGAGAGCTGAAGAGAAAAAATACACATTTATGTCTGTAATGGAAGCGAACAATCTAAAATTCTGGGCTACTTTGGTTACCCCATAAATATGGCAATTCCTAATCCTATCTACTATGGTAACACCACTGGTGGCTAAACCACAGAAAGGATTATTCAATTTCTACATTTCACTGGCATTTCTCTAATTGTTTTCAGGAATATGTTACCCATCTGCTGTTGCAGTTATGTTTGTACTTCATTCAAAAGGAAACAGTAGATTTCATCACAGAACTTCCCCATGCAGCACTCAGTTAGGTCTCTTTTCACTGTTTGCAATTATCCCTGTTTTTACACTCAGCGTTATTCATAAATTGTTGCAAGAGCATGCAGAGGCCGACCACAAGACCTTCATTATGTTAGATACTCTACTTACATGTCAACACAACATATATGTGGAATAGCTTACAATAAAAACAGGTTCGTATCAGATCAGGTAATAATGTATTTACTCTGCTTAAGTGCTTCTTTCATCTCCTCCCCTTGTTAGCAAGCCCACCTGCTGATGCCTGGTGTGAGCAGAATATTGCTCTCTACTCCAGTGACTGTAAAACCTGATCTTTGGAATTCTTTTCTATTATGTTTCCCTTATGCAGCCAGGTCCTCTACCTGGTACAAAAAATGTCTTTGTTTTCTGTGTGATCCTCCAGAACATTGCTGTGAGCACTGGCTCAGTCGAGAGAGTGGCAAATGGAGAAAGCACCACTGGAGATGAGACAGCAGCCAGCAAGGAAGAGGAGAACAAAACAGGATTTGTCAAATTTGGATGGGTGAAGGGTGTGCTGGTGAGAAACCTACCTACATTTCTAAAAAAAATAATTAAAAAAAAATAAAATCAGTTCTGTTACACTTAAGTCTTTGAAGAATTAAGAGATGGAGGCAGGCTTCAGGGATGTTTGGGGTGAAATGCACTTTATTACCCTTCTGGTTTTAAACATTACTTTCCATATTGAACTAATGCAGTAATTTTTCTTTAAAACCTAGGTAAGATGCATGCTTAATATTTGGGGTGTGATGCTCTTTATTCGACTTTCCTGGATTGTAGGTCAAGCAGGAATTGGTATGTATCTTATTTAATATCATTTTCAACAGTGAAAGGGATAAAGAGGATAAACTATACATGATCATGATTAATATATAATCTGAGATGTGCATTTGCATGTTGAGCTAAATAATGTTTTCAAATGCTTGCCAGGGTAAAAGACATTAATCCTCCAAACTATTGGAATTTTCCGGACTCACAGCCAAATTACTGCTTAGAGGCATAGATCTGTTAACTATGCATATGATCATCACATTTGAATATTTCTGAGCTTTAGTGAAATTTGTATTTAGATCCTGTAACAGATGTAAACTTCATGACTCGGGCCAATTTCTAATATGTGCGTACAGAGTTAACCTTTAAGAGTTCACACTTTGCTCATCTGTGAAACCCAAACCTTGTCATATACATATTATAAACAACTCTTCTTCACACTTCTCTGCCAAGATGAAAACAGAACTGGAAGGAGGTCTCATCTCATCAGGATTTTGTTATTTTTTAACTACAGAACAGCACTTGATACTAGTGTAGTATGAAAGACTAAGTTTTAAGAACTCTGCTACAGCTTTCATAAAAATGAAATAAGTACATTTCATTGTGTGCTGTATCTTTGCTTCTTTATTGTGCAATTTAATTCATTCAAATTCCAGCTCCCAGATCCCTGGGAAACTGGGCTCCGAGGCCTCCACCCAGTAGATTGCAGAGTGTTCAGTGAAACCAGCGAGAGAGGGAAGTGCTCCCAACACTGCAAATCTCCAGCACTGCAAGAGCAGCTCAGCTCAGGTGCAGTGCCCCACAGCTGGGTGCTACAACTCTCTTGTTAGAGCCACTGCTCTGGGGAAGCACAGAAATCTGAGTTGCCATGGCACTGTCCCTCTATGATCCATGGCCATACAGTTAGAGAAATGGGACCCTGATCTTTAACTGGTACCCAGACGTTATTAAAAACAGGCAGGATGGCAAGTAGTCCGGTTTGGATGATCACAGAATGGAAATATTCAGCTATATTAAGGGGTGTCAGCCCTGCTGGGCGTGGGTAAAAGTCAGTGCTCAAAATCAGATTGAATATAACTATCATTCACATCCTTGTCAATGGAAGTGAAATGAAACATCTCCAAAATTTTGCATGGTTGAAGTCTCATTTCTAATAAAAAGCAGTAACTTCATAGAAGTTTCACTTGAGCAAGACTAAGCTCTTAATTTAAAAAAAAAAAAAAAAAAAAAAAAAAATGAAATGCTTATTAAGAAAAAAATCACAAACTTACAGAGACACAAATAGGAAAAGAAAAACCAGCCCAACAATAAAAGATGCAGAACTAAGCGGAAGAACTTTAGTACTTCTGCAGTGCTCCATGCACGGCTCCAGCACCGTGCCTGACAAAAGGGTGCTTTCTGATTTTATGATGCATACCAAATGAGCACATACAGCCCAGGGCACTCATAACTATATGCCTTGCCATGAAAATTCTGCATCTTAATATTGCCAAGACTTTGCTCTGGGGCTTCATGCAAAATTAGTTTTTAAGGGCAGTTTAGTAACTTATTGATATCATCAAGAAGTATTACTTTGTTTTGAGGTGTGAGAATAGCCATAGGCAAGAGTAATTCATTTTGGAGCAACTTACTTAGGAGCCATATGCCTGGTTTTCAATCTAAACTTTAATCAGATTTTAACATTAATTTTCACCAACATCAGTTACAACCTTTCTGCTTTCATTTTTAATTTTACCATTTTAACTCATTGATAAGCAGGCTCTTCTTTCTTATGGTTTATTGCTCTGCTGTTGCTTTTTTAAATTGCATGTGTTATGCAAGGGGGTTACTTTTACTTTTGAAAATGAGATGTCATATTCCATTTAAATAATTTCTTAGTGCATTTTGGAATGCCTTATAAGCAATAAGCTTTAAGTCCCCAGCCAAGCTGCTTAAGGAGAACAGTGATGGAAACTCATCATCACCAAGGCTCAGGGATTTCACTGGGTACTGCTACTAACATGGAAATTAAATGAGACAGTTAAACCACCATCTGGGCACCAATTACATCCCCATCATTAGAGGGCCAAAGAGACACAACCCAATTATTTCCATACCCTGATAGGCTGTCTTGGGCAAAAGCTCTTACAGGGGAAAAAATAGGATTCCACAAGGTTCTCTGGCTATCATCAGCTAGGAAAAAGGGGACAGTATGGTTCTGACAAGATTCCAGGTCCAAAACTAGTCTGCTATTTCCACCTAATATCTGGGGACTCTATGAAATCTGTATTTGTACCTCTACATGGAATGGTTAGACAAAAGCAGGGAAAAACACCAAGTTTATGCTACCTGCAAATCTGGCCCCGATTATTCAAATTATGTTACATTACATTACAATGACATTTTGGTTGAGTCACTTCATTTTATGCACTTTTCTTCTTAAATGCTAAAATTATTTTTTTTAACTTATCATTAAAGCCTTCCCATGAAGATGTTACCATCAGATTAGCAAAATATCTGACCCTATATATCATATACATGTTAACAATATGAATTGTGAAATGCAATAGAACATCCTTGAAAAGTATCCTTAGGATGCACATACACTTAGCAAATAATTTTAAAATTGATTTGAGAATTATGTGTCTAACTTATTCAATTAAAGAGGTAACAGCTCTTAAAGTCATATCCAGCCACTTCTCAGACACAAAATTTGCATGGTTGAACAATATCCTTCTATGTAATGGTAGCTGACCAAAAGGCATGACCAATTGTTTTTGGGATTTTTTTCAGACCTGCACATAAAACACTTACATGACTAGTTATAGTAAGAGTTCAGAAATCAGTAAGATAAACATGATTTATTAGAGGCTCAAATCACTTGAAATATATTACACTATGTTATATATCATTTATGGCTCACACATTACATTACTCTATCTTAAAGGACTGTGAGAACATGGCTGTACTTTAAGCAGCAAAGAACATTAGTTCAGAGACTGGATGTCTATAACCATCCAGTATGAACTGAACTCAGGAATCTGATCTGTAAGTCAGATGGTAGAAATACAGCAGATAAATCAATATGTTTGTAGTACTTCTAGCTCAATGTCAATTGTAGGATCTAAGTTTCAATTTAGATGAGCCCTGATCAATAAATACAGCTACAAGCAATGTATATTCTCCAGTTCCACACTGAATGCCTATGTACCCTATGGAAAAAAGACAGATATTGCATAAGCCTTAGCAAGCTCAGATAAAACTAAGAATTGATTCCAGGCTTGGCACCAAGCTGTAATTCTTTATTTTTTTCTCCTGGTTTTCTTCCTCCCTTTTCATAGATAGAAATGAAGCTGAGAGAAAAAACATTATATTATTTCTTCACCTGACTTGAAATAAAAAGGAGATCTGGAACTACAGAGACAAGTTCTTCTAGGTAGTGCCAGAAATCTAACAGCAGTAGCTGCAATTGAACCTTGGGAGGTGCAGTTTGTACACGAACAAAAGCTTTTAAATTGAGCAGGTAGTCTAGCCCTAGAACATGTAATCCAAAGAAGCTGTGGGACCTTTATCCACAGAGCTTTTCAAGAGATCAGCTAGCCAAAGCCAGCCCTGATTTAATCCTGTGTTGACAGTAGTTCTGCTATAAATGGGAGGTTGAGCTACAGATCTTCAGACGTCACTTCAAAGCAATGCTTCTATGATTGTAAATCATACAAAGCACATCCTGCTCATACAGTTTCTAGCAATTTCTAGCAGTTTCACAAAGTTAACAGAACCCCAGCCATATAGTCAAAGACTGGAAACATTCTCAGATTTCAGTTTTACACTGAAACCCAGTTACCTATAAATAATCACCTACCACTGATATTCTGACGTTTGGTAATCATTGTGATATCAGCTAAAAAAAGAAAAATATTCTAAGTTCTCTATGACTATACATTACAGGTCACCTATTAAAGTAAACGGCATTTTAAAAGCAGTATTTCCATTTTCAAGTATTTGTTTTGTGTTAGAGTAAAACTACTTTTTGCAGGGAAAGACGCAGATGAGCAGAGAGTGGGAAAGCTCAGCACTTGATAGCTCAGTGAGTGAGGATGTAGAAGGCTCCTACTCAGGTCTTGTCCCTTTGCCTGACAGACTCTGTCCTCATGCACTATGAATCTATACAGTCAGTCTTCCTCTGATTCAACATTTAATTAACTGATGAAAGACAACAGCATTGTTACAAGAGCTCTGGTTAATGTGTTTATCTCTTCATTTAAACAGCTAGGATGTGTGTTAAAGGTAGGTATAAGCCTCCATTTCAACGGACACCTGTTTATTTCCTCCATCCTTTGGAAATCACAGGAATTCCTGGACAGGGTACTCCTATCAGAAAGAATCACTGTTTGAAGATTGATGGGGATAATTTACTATCGTGACACGGATTTCATGAAAATGTTCTGCAAGCTGCAAGTGGTCAACAGACCATCTTTTCAGTTTATTGCTCTTATTCTGGCCTGAAAATTCAATTTAAAGAAAGAATGATTTGTAGGAAACACGGAACATGAGTAAAATATTTTATCTTCTTATTACTGACAGGTCTTGGAGTAATCATAATTCTTCTCGCCACGATGGTAACCTCAATTACTGGGTTGTCAACTTCTGCAATAGCAACTAATGGGTTTGTCCGTGGAGGTAAAAATCTTAGGGTTACTAATGCTTTCAAGCCCCAGAAGGTATTTATGTATTATTTTTGTATGAGACAAACCAGAGGGACCATAAACCAAAGGGCACATCTAATGGAACTGGAAGGTAACTATTCTAGTCACCTCTCATCACAATTTAAGGCGTTTGAGCTGTCACTTCTAATAAAGCATGGATTTCAGTTCAGTCTGAGAAGTACATTGCAGATGTTCCTGCCAGCTGCTGAGCAAGGGATGCTTCTGGCTTTTCATGGAGTTCTTTCACTTTTCAGCCAGTCTTTCGTATTCAGAGCATTCCAGGTTGGACACTCTTCAACAAACTGCGCATGAGACATCTCTTCCTGTCATTTTGAAGACTGATGCAGAGCAGTGGATCTCTCCAGTTTAATGCCCTCTTTATAATACTTCTTACATTTCAGCCTCTCCTTGGAAGACGGGTAAATAATTTGGCTGTAAAAGTCCGAATCAGGTATTTTGTGAAACAAAGTTTTGGTGCATTTCAGAGCCTTAAGTTATAACTGGTCTGGTCTAAGCCCTGTAGAAAATGGAAAGTTCTTACTACGTCACTAAAGCAGAACAGGTACTGGAATACACTTGCATATACTTTCTTTTTCGGATCTTTCAGGTCTTGGAATCATAGTTATTGCTCTGAGTGTAGTAGTAACAACATTGACAGGTATCTCCATGTCTGCCATTTGCACTAATGGAGTAGTAAGAGGAGGTAAGTGAATATGATCTCATGAAAAATACAAAAATCTGCAGATTTGAATTTAAAAAATTAATGGAATTGAGATAACTGTGTTATAAGCAAAGAAATAATATGTATATTTGCAGTGGTTTCTCCCAGTGGATCAACACCAAATTGAAATGTGTATAGATTTAATGCAAAAAACATTAAAGATTCACTGCATCACTATGATGCAGGACTTAAACAATGTACCACAGAATGTGACCTTTCATATTAACATTGGGATAGATCCATGTAAGCTAGAACATTTTCAGAAGTGAAGTTCTTTCTCCTTTGTGTTACTATATCATGCATCATGAAAAATTATAACAAGATCCACTTTTGCATGCTAACATGCACGAAAAAAATTTCTGGAATCGAAAGGTATAATGAAAAGTCTGAAGGCAGAACCAGTATAAAGCACATTGCTTTTTTGCAGTGTCTCCTATTAATGTAGGGCAAAGACTGATTATATTTGTGAGATTAAAAGCAGAGATTTCTCCAGTAACAGTTATGTGAAGGGAAAAAAAAGCAAAAGCTAAGTGTCTAGTTGTGCTGAAATAACAATAATTTCTGTCTGCAGGTGGAGCATACTACCTTATCTCAAGAAGTCTGGGCCCAGAGTTTGGTGGATCTATAGGACTTATCTTTGCCTTTGCAAATGCAGTGGCAGTTGCCATGTATGTAGTTGGATTTGCTGAAACAGTTGTAGAACTTCTTAAGGTAAATGTAGATCTTTCATGTATATGATGAAATTGGTTCCGTTTGTTTTGTGTGGTTTTTCTTTTTTGGGGGGGGGTGGTGATGGTGGTGTTTGTTTTACTGTTGGTTTTGATCGTGGTGGTTTTGTTACAGTTGGTTTTGATGGTGGTGATTTTGTTACTGTTAGGTTTGATGGTGGTGTTTGTTTTACATAATGTATTTGCATAAGCAGTGATATGTTTCAGTTAAGGCTTGAGGGGCATCTTTAGCAGGGAAGAAGCTGCTCTGTCTCAACATGCCACAGTGTTTCTTCATTATTTCTGCCTTTTGAATATATTGCATACATTTCTTGAGAAGAATCTCAAAATCAGGATAGGAACAGACACCCCATTAGACAGCCAAATAATCCCAACTACAAAAATCCAGCTGGAACATGACATACAAACACTTGGTCTCACAAACCTCTGAGAGTTTGACAGCTCACTGCTGAATATTTTACCTTGTTACTTGATCCCACCAGTTGGGCAGAGAAAGACTGGTTCTCATAACATTTCTAACCACTTTCAGGAGAGTGATACACTGATGGTAGATGAGTCCAACGACATCAGAATCATAGGGACCATCACTGTGGTGTGTCTTCTCGGCATCTCAGTTGCTGGCATGGAATGGGAAGCAAAGGTAAACTTTTAAAAGAATATAAAAGCAAGCAGTATATTAACCTGCTGTACAGCATTAGTGTGTGAGGAATGCTATTCAACAGATGGAATTTTCAAAAGCACTCAGTTTCAGTTTATGCATAATCTTTCTAAAAGCAATAGCAGTTTAATCATTACATTCACTGAAAGTACAATTACTCTAAACTCTTCCTTGCACATACATTTAAAAGCAAAGAGGAAGTTTGGGTTTTGCAGTCAACTTGGTTATATTCATTTTTATAATTCATAGCATCATTTAGAGCCTTGGCTACGGTGTCCCCTTTTGCCCTTATTTTTGATGCAGCTTGATAGAATAAACAGTAGCAAAAATAAGATATGGTTTTATTACTGTACTCTCTCAAGCCCTACTCAGCAGAAGAGCTCTATTTGTTACCCATTCCTTAGTCTCTAACTTCTGCTATTCCTTCACCTGTCAAAAAAGTCAGAATGCAAACTCAAATGGAAATATTTTAGAGAGTGGAATACAGCTATCGAAATCAAGTTCAACAGCATGCTTGTTTTTGCTGTGATGGAGACTAGAACAACTTGTAAAAGAGATCAGAAAACAATTTTGTATTATAATCTTTGAAGTGACAACCCTCTGCAAGGACAAAAATTTATAACAATATAAAAATGTCTTATACTCGATACTAATGCATTAGCTGTTCCATTTTGCCTTTTCTTGTAAGGAAGATAACCTAAAATGAAATTATAACTTTATATTTCATTACCTCCTTAGTAAAAAGCATCTGCTGTTGTCATTAGCTGATTCAGCTATCTTGAGTCCTGGTATTTTAAAAAACTATAGAAATTAATAACCTGTTACAGGGAACAGATACAGACAACTTACTATATAGCCATCTCCACAGCAACAAAGTTAAAAACGACAGGTGAATCTTTTTGTTTTCATTAATAGGCTCAAGTTATTCTTCTAATTGTTCTCCTTGTTGCCATTGCAAACTTCTTTATTGGGACAGTCATTCCTACCAACACTGAAAAGAAGGCAAGAGGCTTTTTTAATTACCAAGGTAAGTAAGCTTGCTATCTATCATAAAATTATGTCTGCATTATTTTGACTTAATAGTAAGCTAAAGATTCCACTGGAAAAGGTCACAAGATCAGAATCTTCTGCCCAAGTTTAAGTGAGCTTGCAAGGGAAATGGATTTCATCTCTAATTTTGAGTCTGTCTCTGCTGCTGCCACTGACAACACAGTAAGATGCAGCTTGAGTCATTTATACATCAGTAGAGCAACTTTAGACAAACTAACACAGAGCTAAGAGCAAGTGCTGCAGTGACACTTCTGTCACTTCAACATGGATCTGTAGCTCTGAGATGTAGACAAGCACATCCTTCTGGGGAGCAGACTAAGGAAATCAAATTCACTTTGCTTGTGATGTGAGACAGATTCAAACCCAGTTGTCCAGATGTGAAAGACTGGCTTATTCACCTCCTTCATAAGTAACTTTAGAATCAAATCCTGTTGTTATATTTCATTCTCACTTATATTTGCAGCATCAATATTTGCAGAAAACTTTGGACCAGATTTCAGAAGTGGAGAAGGATTTTTTTCAGTGTTTGCCATTTTTTTCCCAGCTGCTACTGGCATTCTTGCAGGAGCCAATATCTCAGGAGATCTGAAAGTAGGTATTTCATGAACTTCATAATACTAGACCTAGGTTGGAAAAATAACAAGAAAACCAATCATGAATCAACACTGTATTCAGTTTTAAATCATGTCTTAATTTGGGAAGATAAGCTCTCTGTTTTAAGTACCTGATTTATTAGTTAGAAACATCAATTCACAAATTCGCTAATGCATTATGGGTATTTACAGAAATTACTGTAGCTAGATTTGGGTTGCTATATAATTTAAAAACATGTTTCAATAACCTGTAACAATATTTAATTAATGGCCCATTAGCAGCACATGCTATAAGAGAAATTACATGTGTATCTCTTGGAGCTCATCTTTTGTAAATATCATCCAAGCGTCATTCCAAAAAGCCTACCTGGAAAGCTCACGTTTGTACTCACAAGAATCAGGGGAGACCAGCTTTTTGTATTCAGGGTCATAGCAAGGGTAGAGCAAACAGAGAATTTAATGAAAGCAAGTATGTCCCAATCCCATGTATTGCTGCTCAAAGGAAAAGCTGCAAGCTTGCAGCTGTGATTTAAAAAAAAAAAAAAAAAGTCTGAAGAGAAAGGGAAAGGAGGTCCAAGGGTGCCCAGTTGTTTACTGTGGCCATTCTGTCAGTTCCCCATTCTCCTCTTGCAGTTTAGCAGTTCTAGGAAATGGAATTTTCCTAGAATGGTAAATTAGAGACAGGAATTTAGTTTTGAGTGCCCTCTAGTTTTCATGACAAAAACACTCAAAAAACAACCAAAATAAATAAAGAAAAAAAGTCACCAACAAGACATGGCTCACAGCTTGATAATCCCAGCATGGCAAATGAAGTTATTTGGCCTTATGCTAGAAATCCATTGCCTCGCAGACCTTAGAGGATTCAACCACAAGTCTGCTATTTCTGTACTGGCACAGCAGTCACAAGTTCACCAGATCCTACCACCCCTGAGAGCCAATTCTCCTTCCCTGCCTTACCCTGAGCCGCATGCCTCAGCTCCTTTGTTTTCAGAGGACTGCTTTTCAGGCCAAGCACAGAGAAAATACATGGAAGCTGAGCCACTGATAGCGTCAATGAGATTCCGTTTTTAATTAAATAAACAAAACCCACTGTACTTCTGCCCAGTGAGACTGCACCAGCCTCACACAGTCTCCATCCTTTTATCAAACAAAAATAATTCTTTTGCCATATATAGTGTTCTGTCTGCATGGCAGACTCCCAAAGCAGCAGCACTTCTTTCATCAGCTGTTTGAAACAATGCAAGCAGACCTCGGGAAGCAGTTCTCCCGTTGGATCTCTGCAGTCCTTTCAGTCTCACAATAAGCGGACTTCTGTAACCAAGTCCTCCAGGCAGCAGATTCCCCACTGAGCATGTTTAGATGCATTAGACAAGTCTAATTAAATTAACCAGCCTCTCCAGAATCTAAAAGACAAGCTAAGGAGTGTTTAAAAAGTGTAAAATTTACCAGTCGAACTTTCTTTAGAATTTGTTGCAAACACCTCCGTGCTCCTGCAGCCACTACACAATCGTGTCCTACTCCAGAGCCTATTTATAGGGACAGCTTCCTAGTGACTTCCTACTAACTTCAGTGGGGTTTACTCCCTAAAGTGCTAACAGCATAGCAAATATGGGTTTAAATTTAAAAAACATAAAACATAAAAGTTAAGTTGTAGAAACTTTAACCTTAAGATGTGACGTTACAGAGTTTAAAATAACCACAAGGTTCCACAAAAACAATAACCTAAAACATGCACATCAGAACTGCTTAAAGATACTGTGGTTTGACTGCAAAGGTTCTTATGCAGCAGAAGTGACTCCAGAATTCTCTTCCAGCTCAATAGATCCTTACCTCATTTAAAAATTATATTAATTACTATTCCAGTTAAGCAATTCATGCATGCTTCGCAATAAACTCCAGATCTGTATTTTGTTTTTTCACCCTGCAACAAGCATAGCTATTAAAAAATCTGTGACTTAAAATGCATTCAACAAATCTTTGATTTAAAAAGCCATGCTAAACCAACTTAAGAAGAAAATTCATAAAAAATTCTTCCTAGCATAAACAATCACACCCTAAATTGTAAGGTTATCTAGAATTAAAAATCCCTTTAAAATGTACAGTGCAGATCTTTGGACTCTTAATTACAGTTGCATTATCAAAGCTGATACTGTTGTTACTGTAAGCATTATAACCCAGCCTCATTAAATTATCTAAATTAAGTCAATACAGTGAAAGAAAGTAGCTGTTTTGAAGACCCAACAATTACTGGTTGCAAACAACATAAGTACTGTATTCTGTACTGTATTCTGTACAGGATGACTACATCTATCTTACCAATTAACCAAAAATGGTCCCATCTTGTCATCCACAAGAGTCTGATGATTCAGTAACTATTTACCCACTACATCATTAAACATTAAAATAAAGCCAATTGCAATGTAAAGAGAGTTTGGAGTTCAAGAAATGCAGACCTCGAGACCCTTCTGTTGCTATAAATGTGAGCTCTGCTCCTGCAGAATATCCTTCACTATGTGCAGGGTAGGAGTGCTGCACCACAGGAGCACTGCTGTGTCTGCATGCTGGGACCAGAAATGTTGGTGCAGGTCAGAGTGATAAAAATCTGCTCTCTAGGCTATCTTCATACCACAATGTGACAGAACCCTCAACATGCAAATGCAATCAGGCTGCAGCACATAAACTCACAGTATTTCTCTGTCACTGCTTTGTTTAAGGACCCACAAAGTGCCATACCCCAGGGAACAATGCTGGCCATTCTGATTACCACAATTGCTTACATTGCTGTTGCAATTTGTGCAGGTAAGTACAGAACCTCTGCTGCATGTCCTCACTCGTACAGTTAAGTTTGAAAGTTTGGAATGCAAATGAATTATTAGCCTCACTGCTTTTTCATGCCATGAATGTATTATGTAGAGAGACAGTAGTTTTGATTTTACTGTATGGCAAAACAGTGGTTTAAAAAAACCAGCTATCAGTAGAAACAAAAGTCTCTGTTTGGCAGCTCTGCTCACAAGCAGTAGCTGTATTTCAGCTTCAGAGCTGTGCATTTTTCAGTGTAATACTTCCTTTTTTCCCCCCCATGTTTGCTGTTAGTTGCCTAACCAATGGGTATTTTGAGACTCTTAATGTTTTTGACAAATTTGAAGATATCATATAAACTTACATTTTGCCCACTAAAGACACTGAGGTCAACACTCCATGTTTCTTCTCATTTCTGGTGGTCTGGTGGTATCCTGGTTTGGGGCAACTTTGGGAGGAAACTTCCAAAGGGGTCTCTCTAGAAAGTAGATTTAAGTGGCCCCTCTCAACTGGTTCAGGAAAAGATTTCTTTGGAGAAAAGTGGAAAAAACCCTGTTTATTTATCAAGTAAAGTATTCACAAGCATAAAAAATGAATAATATTAAACAAAAAACCTCTTGCTCTTCTGAAGAGATGGCAAATTCAGAAAGTCCTTGTCGTGAGCTGTAGCTCAGCTCACTCAGTCTCCATCAGTCCCTCCTGCTGGGAAATGCCACGTCCCAGCCCTGGTGGGCCACAGGTGTGAGCTCCAGGTGTTTTCTGGGTTTTTGGTCTAGAGCAGGGCTGATCAGTTCCAAGAAAAAGAAAAGCCACAGTCCAGGCAACTTTTCTTCCTGAGCTACCTAAAAAAAAAACCTAACTAAAAGGCTCTTGGAAACAGTCTTAAAGGTGTAGAACTTACTATCCAGCATAAACAGAACAGATGATTGGGGATACAAGGATCATAAAGTCACTCTAGGACATAAGCAAAAAAAAAAAAAAAAAAAAAAAGAAGACAAATATCAATATACAAAAAAAAATAGGTAATTTCTCCTGTTCAAAGTTTTTCTCATCATATTGGTATTAATAGGGCTATGACAATCTGAACAGCTGAGGATTTGGGTCTCTAAAGTAATTTTGTGCCCTTGTTACACAGAAAAGAGGGTATGCTTAGACCTAAAAGCCTCACTGACCTGTTTGCTCTGAATACTGGCACTTTTAAAAGTGGTAACAAGAAGACAAAAGACTTCTAAGTTAGTCAGTTTGTTGTTGATCCCTGTCTGGGTTTCCAATCTCAGAAATATGCTAATTCTTACTAGTTAAGTGGCTGATTATTTTAAAGGTAACAGAAGCAAATATTTGCTTAGAGACACCATGAGAAACTCAGTGACAGTATAAGGAAGTAATCCATGCCCAACATGAAATGTTGCTAATTGGGATGAGTCTAAGGCAGCAGCTGTACAAAAAGTGTGCAGTTTAGGAGTCAAATTGTGGCAAGAACATTATTTCAATGTCACAAAGAAGCAAAATAAAAATACATCATTGTTTCCACAGCCTCCTGTGTTGTACGAGATGCTACTGGGAACGTCAATGATACAATTGTACCTGGAATGAGCTGCAATGGATCATCTGCCTGTGGCCTAGGATATGATTTTTCCAGATGTGCAAGTCAGCCATGTGATTATGGGCTGATGAATAATTTTCAGGTTTTAATGAGATAATATGTATTAGCATACACACATATATTAGCATAATAAGCAATGCATGAATACATAAATACAACATGCAAAATCATTCTTTGCAGACAATTACAATAGAACAACCAGTTTTACCTAAAAGAGTAAACTGTAAGAGTGATGAAAGGCAAAAATCCCCTGCATTTCAAGTTTACCTTCACACTGCCCATGACTAGCCTTGCTAACACTCTGGTAAGGCCTTTATCTCCACTTTTAACAAGTACCATGCAGCAGTACATGTCGTAGCATCTTCAAATGGAAAGCCCAGACTTAACAGAGACCTCAGGAACTCCTGTTAGATGAGGAAGTCACCTCACTGTTCTTGACACATGGATGTGATTTTACCTCAGGGGTGCTGTGGTCACAGTTAAAGGATTGTGTCACAGTACAAAAACCAGAGTTCTGACTTCTTTAAAAAAAGTATCCAAAAATATAGAGTGAAAAATCAAGTGAGAAGTAATGGAGTCTTTCTCCTAGGCCAGAAAGAGACTGCCATTTTTATTCTTCAAAATAAAGCTTAGGCTAAGCATCAAAGTAAAGCAGTCCTGAAGCCTGACAACCCACAGGTCCCAGAACTCTATTCAGCTCCTGTGCTTCATGGCCAGCAAGAGGAATTCACCACCCACCTGCACATGCTTTTCAACGAGTCATTTGTAGCTTTTAAAGTCACTTGCTTTTTTCCCAGCTGGCTCTGCTAAATGACAGGGCTGGGTAACCACCTTGAAAGGGATATGCTGTCCCTTTCATAGACTACTTTCCCTTCCTTCCCTGATCATTTGCCATCCTTACTCCCACCTCAGTTCAGCTGCCCACACTCAGGGCACCCCTTAAAATCAGTGGCCTCCCTACAGCCAAAACTTTCACTTCTTGCATTTATCCCAGCCAGACTAGAGCCAGAACACAGTATGACTGCATCTCACAATCTTCAGAATCCATTGGTTTCTTTCCTGAAGTACTGCCCACACACTACCAATCACATCCATCCACCTTTTAGTTTCCTTGTCTGGTGCTTCTCAAGAACCCTTTCACTTCAGTAGTCACAGAGGCCAGTGCAGTGCTCCTGGGAGGGCAGAGGGAGGCCTGACAGTGACCATCATTACTGTTTGCAGCACTGCAATTATGTCAGCACCATCAGGCAGTTCCTCTCCTTTTCAGTCATATTAAGTAATCAAGGGGGAAAAACACCCAAACAAAATAAAATGCCTCCAACCACATTTCATACATCGGTGCTTTTCCCTGCCATTTCCATTTTCTTGTCTGCTACAAGCTGACTATTTACTCATCAAGTAGAGGCTGTTACTTATAGCAATTTGTTAGTAAAGGCAGCAAGGAAATCTCACAGACTACTCATCTGCCCCAGCAGACAGCTGCATATTTGAGTAAAAATTTGACTTTGCCTCCATTGCTTTTAACTAAGCTGGCAATAATAGTACAGTTTATAGCAGACTAAATTTAGAACCACGAAAAGCAGAGACACATTGAGCACTTAAATGGGTTTGTCATTGAAAAGTGCATCCAAATGCAAGCCTATTATTTTTGCTTTCATTTTTTTTTCCTGAAGGTGATGAGCATGGTGTCTGGCTTTGGTCCTCTCATCACAGCTGGCATCTTCTCAGCTACTCTGTCATCAGCTCTAGCATCTCTTGTCAGCGCGCCCAAAGTTTTCCAGGTAAAATTAAACTATACATTTCCTTATACTTGGTTTAACTTCAGAGGCAAAGTTGAACTTTGTTTGCCAAATGTAATGTATATTTAAGCAATACTGACACATGTGGCAGGAAGAGGCAGGGAAAACAATATGTAGAATGTTTTCTAGCAGAAAAAAACAGGCCTTATCATCATATAAGGGCAATAATATTCTTTTGGTCAGAGCTCAGCTTTGCTGCAGAAGCAGGGGATACTCATCTGCCTGTCATAAATAGCTTCAAGGGTACTTTCAGGACCACTTCTATCTTCTTACAAAAAGCCATCCTGTAAGCACAGGAGCAGCAGCAGCCCTCAGGTCCATAAGATTCAGGTGTGCTCTTAACAGGTTGTCCAGAAGCTGTCTGGGCAGCAGCAACGTGGACAGACTGGGAGCACACGGCATGGGAGAGATAAACTGTACAAATTACATCAAGCCACTGATTTATGCTTCAACTTCTCCCAATTTAGACTCTATTTAGCTATTTAATTCCCTCTTTCTTTTAAAGCACTGAATAAGCATTAAATGCCTGTGATTCTATTCCCCACTATATAATAACATAGTAGTATGTTGACATATCACCTTATTTAAACGTTCATATGCCACAGCAGTTGATGTACTTGAAGCACTAAGATTTAACTTTTGTTTAGCAAAAGCCTAGCAAGCTGCCACTCACAGACAGTGACTTCTGGTGCAAGAAAGCACTGCTTAATAGAATTATGTGCTGATTTTCTTACCAGGCTCTTTGCAAGGACAACGTCTACAAAGGGCTAGAATTCTTTGCCAAAGGATATGGAAAAAACAACGAGCCTATCAGGGGATATGTCCTCACTTTTGTGATCGCCATGGCATTCATTTTGATTGGTTTGTAAAATGTTACACAGCTGCTATAGTGTCATGTTCTGAAATTATACAAACTGATGCTGAAATATAGTTAGTAGCTGTGGTTTGAAAAATTTCCAGTTGGGTAAGCCCTGACATAAGATACTCCAAGTCCTGGTAGCAAAAAGAAACCAGCAGGGATTCCAGTGACTTACCACCACCACCACAGCCTCATTTTCCAAGATGCAGAGTAGCTGCAATTCCTGTTCACTCTGCTGGAAGAGGGCAGTGCTTAGAACTCTATCAGATAAGGCAGTCACAATCTTTGAAAATGCTTTTCCAGTTTATATTGCATATAGCTCTGAGGTAATTTTCAGATAACTAGGAAGCTTATTCTGCTCCAGCCTTTCCCACAGTCAGCTCCAAAGCAAATCCCAGTTTACCAGCAGTGGTGAAAGAAAATCTCAGCTACCACATTTAGGGGTGCAGGGATTGTTAAATCAGTTTTTCCAAGATTTGAAATTCAAACTGTCTTACAGTAAGTAAAAAGGTTGTCTATTAGAGAATTCAGATTCCTACTAACCAAATATTTTTTTAAATGCACCCATCTTGCCAAGTATGTATTTAAAATTCTAAACTTTACATCAGATCTACATCATTAAGAGACAGTATGCTGAATCACAGTATCGAGTATAACACTGCATAGCACATAATGTTATTAAAATCAGGATTAGCAGACATAATTCATATGAATGAAGGTAGATCAAGATGGCTTAAATTAGTAAGACAGGAAAATACCCAAGCTCTCCCTGCATGATAAATGCAGACAATATTCAGATTTAATGCATCATTAGGAAACAGCTAGCCACCAGTCCAGGAAACTGGTGCCTCTGTCTGACTTGTGTATGTGTCTTGCAGCTGAACTGAATACCATTGCTCCCATCATCTCCAATTTCTTCCTGGCTTCATATGCTTTGATTAATTTCTCCTGCTTTCATGCCTCATATGCAAAATCTCCAGGTGAGTCTGCATTCAGCAGTGATTTAAATATGGGCTTTATAGCCTGATTTCTGTAAGCTTTAGACTGCATGTCAGAGAAAACTGCAGTAAGTGTAAAGTATCTAACCTATGTGATATGATGTCTTATTGAATATGATGGCATTTTATTTATCTCCAAAAGATAAAAGTAACAGCTCTAGTCTTACAATGTCTAGTTGTACAGGATGAGAAAGGCTTTGGTGTATCCCACTGGAGAAAAAATTCTCCTCAGGGTGGTATTTTTTCCCCTCACTATTAAAAAGCATGTGTAGGTAAAAGCTTATGGCCAATGAAGCAAGCAAGTTATAGTGGGGAGTCATCACTCCCTTCTCCAAATCTCCAGAGAAATGTACAGGGAGATTCCCAAGCACAGGAACAGTGCTACAAGTGATGCTGCCTGGAGGGGAACATGTAGAGCAAGAGCAGGTCCATCAAACAGCACAGCACAGCTCTGCAGTGCCTAGAAGCACAATTGTAAAGCACAATTGTGAAGCACAACAAGGTCCTGTTCAGGGGTAACTTGGGATCCTCCCTCTACATTAGCAGCAAAGGAACATTCTGGCTGTCAGACTTGTGCATTGCCACAGCAGAATGATTCCCACCATCTCATGAATGAAGGGGTGACACCTTCAAGAATAAAGTCAATCAGCTGAGCAACACTGGTTTGGCACACAGGAAAGACAATTTCCTGCTTCTATGAATTAATTATTCAACTCAAGGAGCAAGGAATACATTTTTGATTTCCAGTGTGAAGAAACTGCAGCAGTGACATAAATGCCTGCATCAACTTCCTTCCTATGGATCTGCACAGTGCCATTTGTTTAGAGGGCAGAAAAGATGAGCACTTCTGCTAATTACCTGCACAGCTGAACAAATGCAGATCTGCTCCATACAGCCTTGGAGCTGAGTGACAATTACCTCTACAGATTTCATCTGCGTGCATCTGACTCTACTCTGCCACTACTTAACATTTCAGACACAACTGCAGCCATTTTTCTTTTCTCATTTCCTCCAGTTAATTTCTGCCAATTCACAATGATAGATTATAATAATTGCAAGGCTGCAGGACAGAAAATTTCTTCCCAGCAGGTCCTTCCCATTCCCTCATTATAAAGATGATGCAGCCTCTTGTATCTTCTGTGTTTTGCCCCTCTCCAAAGTCTGCTCTGTAGAACACCTGGCAGAGACCTGCAAACCATGAAGGCTCAGTGCTTGCCTCATCATTTTAATTAGTAGCAGGGGATGGAATCAGTACTGCAGATGAAGAGCAGCAGGAATAATATCTTTTTAAAGTCAATTACAGATGATTTTATTCTTCTGCCACAAGGCCAGGCAATTTCCAAGTTTAAGACAGGTGCACTTACAGTATTGGGATAAACACTCCTCTCAACAAGTGTTTAGCTACCAATAATAAGTTCTGTGTATATGCATCAAAAGTACACAATCATCAGTGTTTTCAGGTGATTTCAGGAGATTAATCAGGAAATGACCTGGAGTTACAGGTAATCTTCTGATGTTCTGAAATATTCTAATCCAGTAAATTTTAATTTTGCAAAAATACATATGAACAGAATAGCTACTCAAAGCCAGGCTGGACAAAGCAGTAAGAAAGAGAGTAGTAGAAGGCCTGTATGACCCACTATTCTGTAAATTGAAACCTACATCAGCCAACACCTGAAAATATGTGTACATACAGTGCCTAAGAATTTACAGATACCTCTTCCACTCTTTCTGACAGAGCCTGAAACAAACTGTACATGGGATTTTATGCACAAAAATCATGGATCACCATTTCATCAATATATTTTATGCTCTTCCAATTTCCTCAATTCTCTTTAAACAGGTTGGAGACCTGCATTCAGGTATTATAACATGTGGGTGTCACTTTTTGGAGCCCTGCTGTGCTGTGGGGTGATGTTTGTCATCAACTGGTGGGCAGCTCTCATCACTTACGCCATTGAGCTCTTCCTATATATTTATGTAACATATAAGAAACCAGGTAAGGCCAAACCCCATTATTATTGCGTGTATACTTTGTGCTGCTAGACTGGATTTTAAAAGAATTGATTCTGCTAACAGAATTAGAAATTATTTTTCTGTGTTATCTTTATTTAGAGGGAAGTCTGAAGCATCCCGTTAAACTCCACTTTATATAATATAGATTAAGCTGATAGTCTGGTGACTGCCTGTTTAACAAGCAGTTCAAGTGTGGTTCAGAGTTTTCTGTAAACATTCCAGCAGACTGGTTTATTCCCACCACATCTTTATGACATTTGGGCTTTTACTTGAGTATCACTCATAATTTTTTTCCACTCATGCATAAAGCCTTACCTGAATTTTGCAGCACACTTAGCTGAATCATGAAGGGTCCTCATTCAAAATGTAAACCTGCTGCCCATTATAAAACAAAAATGCAAGCTGAATTACTTATGAACTGATCATCCTCCAGCACCTCTCTACAATTCCCCCATAAATCAAGACAGATAGGCCACTTTACTGCTGGAAAAGAACACTTAGTAGCTCAGCAAATCACAGGAGCTGTCCTCAAAAACCTGTGTGCTGTACAAGACTAGACAGTCTGGCTATTCATATCCAGGACAAAACTTACCCACGTCCAGATTTCTGTGCTAACCACCTGAATTACTTCTGCAGCAGAAAACATAAAACAAAACCAATAAATAAAAGAGGCACAGTTCCCAGCAATAGATGTACTTTTATTGGAGTTAGCTTGGGACAGCAGCACCTGGTCTGAGATTATGTAATTGTTTCTGTTGCTGTTGTCTGTCCTCCCTATCTGTGCTCTCTCACACCCACTGGGATGGTCTGTGCTTCTCTCCCTGTAAATATATCATCAGCTGCAGGAAAGCACACTCACCTCAAGCCAGTTGTCAAAAACATTTCAGGATTTCTACCCCTTCCTTGGATATTGTCAATGTCCCTGATACAAAGTAACACCTTAAAGCTTGGTTAAATTCACTGCAGCCACTGTACACAAAGCTCTCTGTCTCCTGCTAAGACAGTGACTTTTGTTCAGCAGTAATTTACCAGCAAATGGAGGATTCAGAAAAAACTAATATTCCTGAGAAAAGGTGACTTTACACAAACCTCCACTTAATTGCACTTAATATTGGCTTTGTACCTTGGTATAACAGGACTTGATCTGCATTCATGTAAATCTTGAAGTGTAGAAAGACATTTCTTGTATGTCTCCACTGACCAAGCAGCTGCACAATAATGAGAAAATATGTAAAACGGGGTTTGGAGAACTATTTCTGGCCTATACAGGGGAACAGAGCAAACTGGTACTAGCAGTGTTCCTTCCTACTGGTTTCATTTGCACTCCTGAAATTCCACACCACATACATGACTCAAGGGCTGTCCATTTTCTAAATGGGAGAAGGACACAAAGTTAGTGAAACAAATGAGAAAATAGTTTTTAAGCAGGGGAAGAACATTCCCTACAACATTTAAATAAAGAATGAAACTATTTACTTGCATGGGGTTTTCTGCATCACACAAGCAAAACCAATTCATTCTATTATGAAGCTCAAAGAACAACAGGTCTGTATCTTATATATATCTTATATATACTCTGTTTTTCACAGACAACACCATTGCTGATTTTTGCAACAGAATGTAGGGAAAAGCCTGTGGTTTAATATGCATTATTTCTCTTTGTTATATGCAGAAGTAAACTGGGGCTCCTCTACACAGGCTCTTTACTTTGTTAATGCCTTAGACAGCGCTCTGGCATTAACGACAGTGGAAGACCATGTGAAAAACTTCAGGTAAGATTTCCAGTGAGCAGTAGAATGGCTTGTCCTGAATCTGTCCATCAGCCAATTATACACAACCTCTTTTTTCTCCCCCAGACCCCAGTGCCTAGCATTAACAGGAGCTCCTATGGTCAGGCCTGCCCTGCTAGACATCACCCACACCTTCACCAAGAACAACGGGCTGTGTATCTGCTGTGAAGTGTACACGGTAAGGGAGCTCACCCCAATCTGCACACCCAGCACCAGTGGGGCTGCAGGTCCCTGTTACACATTGCACTCCCACTCAGCACACGCTGTTCCCACTGGTGCTGACTGGCAGCTGTGCACACCACCAAGGAGATTTGCACTGAGAATGAATTGTGTCATAATTCTTGACAAGAAAGCTATCAGCTTATACAAAACCTGCTGGTAAATGCCTCACTGAGATGCATTTCAAAGTTCATAGCAGGTAAACCAAAAAATGATTTGGAGGGGAAAAAAAAGAAACTTGCAAGGAAAGATTTTAGGCTTAGAAAACAGAACACCCCCAAACTACACAAAATGCAAAATTTGAAGGGTTATTGTGTGAGAGTCAAATTAACTAGGTTCTATTTTCAGCTTTGTCACTGATTTGCAGAGTTGGGGTTTGACAAGTAATTCAGCTCTCTTTGCAGTGGTTCCTCCAAAACTATTGCTAATTAGCTACAATGCTAATTTTGAGGATAAACATGCTCTTCTGAGATCTAAGGAGAGGAGCAAAGTGTATTTTTAGATATAAATACACAGCTGTATGATGTATTTTAGAGGATGAAGATCTAGTCTCTCATTAGGACAGAAAAAAAATAGATAGGTTTGCAGTGTAGGAAGAAAACGTATTTTAAATATTACAGTGCCCTTTTAATTTTGAGAGAGAAAAAAAAGAACAAAACAGCTCATGGCACTAAATGGGGCTGCAGAATCTAGATAACAGAGATAATGTATTCCTCTACAGCAGTGTAGGAATAATTCATTTGATCTGCCACATTGCAGAAACAGAGTATGGAAGATCCACATATAATTCTTCCTAAATCAAATTGATCTATAAAGAATGAATAGTCCTAATTCTTCCCTACTATTATTGTCAGATTTCCCACTGCATTTAGTAAAGATAGAACCAATCCCAACAAGATCCTGTGACTATGCAACTTCCTAAAGTAGTGTTTCAGCAAGTTTTCTGAATTCTTAGGCATATTTCTCTAATATTAGGACTTTCTATGGAGAACTGAGATTTCATTCCTGTCTATACAAAAAAAACCCAAAGACTATTTTGTTGGTATAAGCTTTGCAATTGTTTAGGGAGGGCCTTTCTAATTATTTATTCAGCAACTTAAGTGAAATTTAATTTCCTTGGTAGTAAAAGTGTGACAAAATGAGCCAATATGAATTGCAAAATTGTGGTAAAAAGCAGATGATAAAATTCCTAGCAATCACATTGAAGAGCAGCCTGCAATATGTATCACAACAAATACAGCAAGACTATTCAGCCATAAATGTAACACCCAGCACATTCTGCCTCAAAAGCTGACACGCTGTCAGCAATGCACAAAGTTTTGAAACACCATGCCAGAGAGAACATCTTCCATTCTTTTCTTCCAAAAGGCAGCAAGAAACTTTCCAGGAATATGGTGATACATAGCTCAGAAAGAGACAAAATAAAGTTCCAACAGAACATAAAGATGATTGCAAGTTTACTTGTCTCTGAGGTTATGGCTGCATGTTGGCTTGAACAGTCTGAGTTTCCAGTAAAAGGGACTGTTTCTGCTTTTACTCTTTGCCTTCATGTAAAATATTTTTTCAGGGTTAGTCCTCAGTCTGCAAATTCCCTGGAGTCCTTGTACAATTGCACAGACATTCCACAGATGCAAAGGAGGAGCAGGGGAGGACACAGACAGGCTGGCACCTGGGACAAGGGTGGGTCTGCCCTCTCGGCCAGCAGAAATTTGTTGTGCAAGCCAGTTGTAAACTCACCTTCAGGTGCTTTCCTTTGAGAGACACGGAGGAAGGGCAAAACTTGTTTGCTTCCTTTCCTTACTCACAATGAAACTTGAAGCTTATTGTTCAAGTTATTATTCCCAGCTTTTCAAACATCCAGGATCAAATTCTTCTTAAGTTACATCGATGTCTTGTGACCTGGATATGCACATGGATTTTTTCCCATTAAATTGCCAGATGACCACTGAAAAAAATCTGGCAAAAAAGGCATCTGCATCTTTAATTGCATTGCATCAACTCTTTTCTCTTATGTCAGTAGACAGGAACTTAACCATGTATATTTAGATCTGCTGAGACTCTTTTACACAGTTAAGTCAGGAAGAGACTTTATTCACTCTGAGATGCTTTATCATGCCTTAGATGTTTTTTTAAGATGTTCCAATCCATATAGTCCTTCTTTCTGTCAGAATCACTGCATTTAAGTAGCATTAACAGCCTCAGCCCTCTCAAACAGAATGTGAATTATGTTGGCAGCACAGTTCTTTTCAAAGGGCTGAATCTCTGTGGACCCTTTTTGGAAAGGTATTTTTCTGACTCTCTCCCCATTTGCTCCCACAGCAGACTAGGTAACTCCTTGAAAATCACTGTGTGATGTACAATACAAAGCCTTCATAATAATATTTTACTGTATCATGCAGGGACCACGCAAGCTGTGTGTTAAGGAGATGAACAGTGGCATGGAAAAAAAGCAGGCCTGGCTCACAAAGAACAAAAGAAAAGCCTTTTATGCAGCAGTGGCAGCTGACAGCTTCAGAGATGGAGTCAAAAGTCTACTTCAAGTAAGCTTTTTGTTTACAGAACACACAGGAGAGTGCACATCAAAGCATCCCTTTATGTGAGACATTACTATTAGCTTGTGAAGAAGCTCTACATATATATGGGTAATGTTATAGATGGAAAGGGCATTCTGGGGGTACATGGATATTATATTACAGATTATTTCATAAAGATCTAGTTCTGGGCTATGGTATAATGAGACAAGGCAGATTGATTCTCTCCTAAATGAACAAGACACTATTATGAAAAAAGAAAGCATCTACAGGGCAGCATATGAATGTCTATGCAGCTGACACTTGATACACTTCAAATCAATTCTATTGTTTGGTATTACACAGCATATTAAATATCTGATAATGTTTTCGCAATAAACGAAAACTGAAAATGTGTAATATACATTTTCTGCAAATAGCAAGAAGGTCATTTAAATAAAAGTCTGCAATATTTTTCTATTACTCTAAGAATGCAGGAGATCATTTCCAACAGTCCATTTAAAATGGCCATAATGAAGGCACAGAGACACTGTTTTCATTTTTCCCCTCTCCTTTCTTCTCTCACATATATGAATATTTAAACATATAAGTACTGAGGCAAAATGTAGAGAAAATTCATATCATTTGTACAAAATACACCACTGAAAAGACATCAGTGCCAACTGAGACGGTAGGGAACCAACTAAAATACTCTGGGTAAGTCACCTACTGGTGTCCTACCAGGGCTCTTTGTACACTTACTGAATGGACAGTACAATTGAGAAAGATTAAATGCTATTAATAAAGATCCCTTTGTTCTGTAAAAGCCTCACAAAGACACTTCATCTTGGGCTTATACACTGTCTCAGTAGGAGACCTTTCTGATGTTTTTCAGAACTGCTATGGTCTGATGATCTCTTCATTTCCATTACTACTTAAGCACTATTGCTAAAGTCAACTACTGGACCCCAAATAATTCTCTTCCAGCAAACAGAAGGATAACCACATCATCATTATTGCAACCTCAAGACATTGGCAACAATTACTGATTTCAACATAAACAGTGCTACTCAAAAACCCACCAAGGTTCCAGCAGTTTTTACCTATTTTCTGTTAGCTAGTAATGAAAAGTTGGCAAGTGTTACCAACTTTACAAGCTGGTGTTTTGTGTGTCTCCTCCTAAAGGTTCCCAATACACGGAATATTTAGATTTCTATAAACACTAGGTCAGCTGAATATAGATCTGACTTCCCTTACATATCCAGGTTTTAGCATCCAGAACCAGTTTTGAAGGCAAACTAATATCATAACAAACCATTTCTTTCTCCCGTTTATAAACCATAATTTTATCTACAAAGCATGCTCAGCTGATTTTGGATAATCTTTTTAAAAGAACACAGTAAATTAAACAGCAACAGTTTCCAAATTCAATGCAAAAAAACCCCAACATTCTTAGGAGCCTATGTCTTCTCTGTGTATCTGAGATGTTTTAAGAGACTTCAGACCCACTTCATCTACTGAGTATTCCGAAGCTGATAAAAGCTTTATGCCATTATGTTAGAATGAGCATACAAACAGTTCTTGAACTCCCTCTTGATTCCAAGTTATTGAACCATTTTAATGAGAGCATGTCAGAAGAAATGCAAATGAATGCTAATTTAGCAAAACTACACTTCTGTCATCTAAAATCATTTATAGTTGGAATGATTTAAAGCTAATCTTTCTGCTTTCTGCATGGGTATGAGCATGAAGGACATTTACGAAATGCAATCTAGTTGTAAGTGTCTCCAGAACATTACTTCAGTTATCTTTTCCCATTACTTTTCATTTACAGTAAAAGCATGTATGCATACCTCTCTCAAGCAGTGTTTTAATATTGGCAGGCCTCGGGCTTGGGTAGAATGAAACCAAATACCCTGGTGATGGGATTTAAGAAGGATTGGAGAAGTGCACCTGCCACTCAAGTTGAGAACTATGTGGGCATTATACAGTAAGTCAGCTCAGCACCTCCTTTTTCACTCCTCTTAGACTAGATTAATGTAGCATTTCCATATAGAATTTGATGTGTAGAAACAATGCAAGGACCTATGTACAAACCTGGGTTCACACATCCTAGCGCTGTGGCTGAAGTTATTGTCCATCAAAAAAGGTTCACTGGCTTCCCACACCTCATAGGATCTGCTTAGCAAACACCTGGCACCATCAGAGCTGATGTGGCTTGACAGTGCTAAAGAAGCTGCACTGCTGTCAGCAGTGCTTTTGCAGAACTGTATTTTCCCATTTTTAGTGGGCAGGAGCTCAGAGAAAAACAACCCTAACATACGTATTAAGGGAATACGAGAACATCATGGAGTTCTTCTTTTAAGCCTAGGAGACTGAGGAAGAGCTTTGCTTCAAATCTCATGTGTGCCTAAGGCTCAGCAGCTTTGTGGGTTGGGATTTAGCTAGGGAACAGTCATTTTAGAACAGGCTTCTCATAGATGCTTGCTCAAAATTCACTTGTAACACTGAAGTGAGTTATGGAGCAACAAACCCCACCTCAGTTTTGTTATTGCCTAACAGAAGGGAGAAAAAAATTACCCTATGGCAACCTTGCTCCTAAAAAAGTGCTATCTGAAAGACCCATTTCAGGAATAGCTAATTTGTTTCCATGCCCAATAAAACTTTTTTTTTTAATGAGGGAAGTACTACAACTTAATCTGGGGCAATTCCTTCTGCAATGTTACCTAGCCTGTCCTCCCTACAAACACTTTCACTGACCTTTTCAAAATAGTTTTTCTCATCAACATGCACGATGTAAAAATCACGTTTACTCTTCTTTTTCTTTCTTTCCAGTGATGCCTTTGATTTTGAGCTTGGCGTAATTATCGTCAGAATTAGCCAAGGATTTGATATATCTCAGGTTCTTCAGGTTCAAGGTACGTGGCGACTCTGCTGGTTAGATGCACAGCATTAATGACTCGGACACTCATAAGAGGCACCATCTGCTTTCTAGAACAGTTCCTACATTCCTAACTTCCAGAGCTGGTCCTTGTGCAGTTTAAATCCTGAAGTCCTCGCTGATCACTGGCAGTGACAGGAGCCCAAGCCTCACACATTAAGAGGCTCTGCCCATCAGAGAACTCAACTCCCAAAGCAGCTCCTGCATAGGCACAGACTAAAGCAATAAAATCATATTTGTGCCACAGCAACCAGTTACACTGCTGCACGTTTCCTTCCTGGTCTTGGCACACCTTGCTCTATCTGCCTACCTGCCAGGCGTGGGACAGACAGGAAATGGGAAGCTGCAGTTTGGTACCTTGGCTGTGAAACTCTGAGAGTAGCACAGAAAAACCCGCAGCGAACATCAGTTCCCTCTCTCCCCTTTTTGTTCATTCTTCCTTAGGTTAGCAGCGCCTATCTCAGGGGGACAGGGGAAACCTTCCGCCACAGCACAACCCTTTCGGCGGCCGTGCCGTGAGGGCGGCGCAGGCGGAACAATTCCCGACATTTCCAGCGGGCCCGCGGCTCTCTGCTGCCGCCTGCTGCCCGCCCGCCGCCACGGCCCCCACAGCCCCCCGGCAAGGCTCCCCGCTGAATTAAAACCAAAAGCACCCCGCAAAATTAAAACCAAAAGCACCCCGAATAATTAAAAGGAAAAGCACCCCGAATAATTAAAAGGAAAAGCACCCCGCAGAATTAAAAGGTGCCAGAGACTCCTTACAGGAACAAGGGTAGATGAACACTCACTCACCGCTGGCAGTCTGATGTGCTTGGAGACCCACGGGGCAAAGCTACAGGGACTCAGAAAAGATTCCAAAATAATCAAGTTTTTCTTCTCTCCCTCGTGATTTCTGAGAGATATCTGCCTGTCTCTGCTTGATGCGAGTCAGCAACTGAGTGCTCAAAATATACAGTCATTGGAACACCTGTAAAAGTACAATGAAAAACAACTCTGCAATCTTACAAATGAACAAATGTTCTCCAAGTGTTGACACAAGGAGTCAAGGCGAAAGAATTAAGGGGGGAGCCTCAAATACAAAGAAATATTTTGAAGCAGATACAGTCATTGTAATGGAAAACAATGATCATTGTGTTCTCTTGGTACAGCATTCTGTTCAATAGAAAAGCTGTAATTTTAGTTTTGAGTAACCATTAAGTTTGTGGCTATCACCATGTCTAATAATCAGAAGTATGTGGCTGTCATTGATTAAAAAGTAAAAGAAAGTATAATCTTTCTGTGGGCAAGTGAGAGTGCTAACAGAGCTAATAATGTCTAGCTAGTGAGGGTTTATTCTACTTTTTTAACACAAAGTCTTAAATGAACTTACCTCATATTTAGTTAATGTGTTGCTCAAATAGAAGATTTCCTTATGATTTCCTTATTTCTGCAGGCAAATGCCTGGATCATATTAATTAGTGCCTCACCATAATACATTCCACAATAACACATGGTACTGTTTCCTCAGCAAAATTCTAATATTGCTAAGATTAAATTATTCTTCTGTATTACTCAGTTTACAGAATTGATTAGCTAAATCTTACATCTTTGCAGCTAATGCTCAAAAAATTAAAACATGAAAAATATTTCTGCATGGAGAATGATTGTATATTCAGGATTCTTACATATTTCTGAAAATCTCAAAGTACAAACCATGAGATTTTGTTCTAAGAAAAGAGACCCACAGGCTAGAACTAAATACGTCAGCTTCCTCAGGGTAGGAAAACAGCTTTCCTAATGTCTTTTCAAATTCCTGGCTAAAGAAACCAACTAAACATCCACAAACATAACTCAATAAATAATATCTCATGTAACTATAAAATGTCATAATACTGAATTAGATTGGGAAGAGACAACCTGAGAGCAGCTGGCACAGCACAGTGCTGTAGGCACAGGCACCCCAAGCTCGGGCTTCTAGAGGTGAATTCAGCTTTCTTCTCCCTACTGGTTTGCAAAGAAAAAGCATTCTAAAAGAAATTTTCATACCAGGAACTTTACATTGTCTAAAAAGTACCACAACACCAACCACATCATCACCATTAGTTCAGTCAGGGATTTCATTTAAAAGACACCAATGTGTTACCAGTTGTCTTACTTTTTCTAATATACAGAGGAATTAGAGAAGCTGGAGCAGGAGAGATTGGCACTGGAAGCCACCATTAAAGAAAATGATTTTGAAGAAGGAAAAAGGGGCATCTGTGGATTCTTCAAAAAAGCCAGCACATTGAATATATCAAAACACGAAACAAAGAAGGGTAAGTTCCAAAATTACAACTTATCCTCCACCCTTCAATGCATCACACTTTCACCAATATACAATATGGGCTTTACTCCAAGCCAAAAACTCCTGAGCCACAGAGAAGCCCCTGGAACAGAGCCTTGCTTGAGCAAACCATGGTACAGCCCTGTAATGGAGCACAGTGACATCCTCTGCTCGTAGGACACTCTGTCTACAACACCTTTCCCCTCATTTGCTAGATAAACTTCTCAGCTCAGCTTATGTTCATTTCTACTTGTCAAAAATAGAACACAGTTATTGAAGTTTGAGGAATACAGAACAAGTTGGTTGGGGGGGTTTGGGCTTGTTTTTTTCTTTTTAATAGGGTGTTTTAAGCTTTTAAACAGAAGCATTTTTCCTCTCTATAGAAAATTGGAACATATGCACAATATGCAGGGAACAAGCAATCTTACTTAACATACACACACACACACAAACTCAGTACACAACTGAAAACCAGGTAAAAATAGCACAACTGCTCTATATTCCAAGCATAATTTCATACAAATGCACAAGTGAAGGTGGCAAAAGTACTGAAAGTACATATACAACATACTGTCAAGTAACTAATTAACACATAACTTAAATGTGTAGGTGATGAAGTCAATATTACGTTTCAGATATAGTAAAATGATACAGACCCAATTTAAGGTCTCATTTCACAACTGCTAGGCTGTAATGATAATGACTCACCTGAAGCCATGCTTGTACACAGACATGTATTTTGAGAGTTTTCACCTGCAGAGACTGCTACATCTGGCTGTGCATGCAGCTCCCACCAGGTGCCAGGAAGATCTAGAGACTGGGAACATAAAACCACTGTTCTTCAGCTGGCAGGTTTCAGCTGATTTTGTTTCAGTAGAACATACTTTTATGACAATTCCAAGAGTGTGTACCCCTGTTTCAACTTCCTTTCTTTATTTAGTTGAGGAATACATAAAGTAGATAAATATTGCACATTTTGGCTCTCTGTATTAGATAGATTATGTTAATAAATAGCCCCGTCTCTCTGTTTTGTTTTCATGTTCATACTCCCCAGAGTTGTTCCATCTTCCAGCAGAGATGCTAGAACTGTAGAGGAAAGCCAATAACTGCTTTGGAACTATCCTGTACACACTCCAGAAACACAGGAATACCAAACAAAGCATTTCCAGAACCTAGCAGATCAGAGTAAAACCTCTAAAGAAGCCTGTTAGTTCCACTTAGAATACTTCTCTGTCACCATCTCTTTGAAATCATTGAAAGAGAAGCAGTAATAAAGCCACAGGCTTCAAAAGGTGGAATGAGAGAAGGTATTGTTAATACAGAGTCAAGACTGTATCTTTTTAAGCCAGCCAAACAAACAGCAAGAATCAAAATTTATTTCCAGTTAGCAGTGACTATGGCAGGAAAGGGAAACAGCCATATGTTTGTGTTTTCTAACTTCCAGCTTCATCTATGCTACCCCTGCACCCCATCAGCTCATTTCATCCACTGTGACTGTGCTTTTCAGGGAGCTCTGTATTTTACAAGACAGCTGAGCTTGTAAATGATGCAAAATGGCATATTTACTTCTAAAATCTATCAGATATTCCCCAGCTGCTTTTTAAGGCCCCAGTGAATTTTACATTAAGCAAAAAGAGACAGAGAACAAATAATCAGGTAGCCTTTTCCAAAATGTTATGATCTAGTGATAATATGTTACACAAGCTTTGGTTTCTGTGTGTATGAGAAAATTAAAAGTCCAAAGCATCTACTCTGTACCTTTTTTTTCCAGATTTAAAGGATAGAAATTATGTCAGAAACAGTTCATTTTCCTGAAGCTTTCCCTCTATTTGGCTCCCTAAAGCTACTTATTGCCTCACTTATCAGACATCCTTCCCCATTTTTTTCTTTCTCATTATAGAGAGCACCATTAACACCATGCAGTCAATGCATGTGGGTGAATTCAATCAGAGGCTGCTAGAAGCCAGTACTCAATTTAAAAAGAAGCAAGGAAAAGGTACAATTGACATTTGGTGGCTGTTCGATGATGGAGGTAAGAAATTTGAGTAAGAATCACAGAGAGAGAGAGATTTCTCTGTTACCAAATATAAAAACAGACTTGGGAAGTTGCATAAAACTGGGTTTTATTAAGCTTACATAGTCAATTTTATGTCAGGCTTAAATGTTTTAAAATTAACTTACATCCAACACTGCTGAAGTGAACGATGGAATTGTCACAATACAATGCACTAATTTGATATTCCTCCAATTTTCTGTGTTCTTCCAGGTCTAACAATCCTAATTCCTTACATTCTAACTATTAGGAAGAAGTGGAAGAATTGTAAATTAAGGATCTTCACTGGAGGAAAGGTCAACAGGATTGAAGAAGAAAAACTAGTGTAAATATAACTTTGTCTCACTTGTTTAAAGAGTTTGCACTGATGCTGAATATAATGCATATACAGCAGGAAGGTGGGAATTTTTCAGCACAACTGGTTTGTTGTACTGTGGGCAGTGTGAAAAAGAATGTACTTGATTGAGAGGTGTTAAGCTTCTGGCATAGCCCTTAAGGCTCTGCAAATGGTGATTACCAAAGGAAACTCGCATTCAGCACTTTTCCCCATTAATAGCTCATATTCCCTTCTCTGAGAAGAGCAGTTTGCACTCTGTAATGAGAATATAATTACTTTTATGGGATTTACATCAGATTGTCCAGGTAACAGGAAGTGAAATTACACATGAAGGTCTCACATGCAAATAGCATAGACAGATAGCTCACATAAATGTGATTAACTGTGGTAAAATATAAAGAAGTTAAAGAGCAAGTTAATCAGCTTTAAGGCCAAGTTGATTTTACTCAGTGTTTTTAAGAAAGTCTAGATTTCGTAATAATCATTTGCCTTTCAGCAAATGAAAGGTACTAATATAAACTTATTTTTATCACCACTGCATGTAGGACCTTTCCTTCCTCAGCACTTTACACATTACAGGCACAGCCATTTCTCCACCAGTGGAAGCAGCTCAGTTTGGGATGAAAGTCAGTGACTGCTTAAAGAGCAGAAGCACCATGTAGAGAGTTAAAAACATCTCCAGCCAAAACTCCAGTGGCAAACAAGTGAGAGGAGTGCAAGGACAGGAGTTAGAATCACCAGTTTCACTAGGATTACAACACAGTGCCCTGGAAAGACAGCTGCCACAGCATGTTCCCTTAAAGCAAAAGGGAACACATAGAGCAAACTTCACTCAACTGTGGTCCCATCAGTTTTAAACAGTACCCTAAAGTAAATGTACTTGTGCAGAAGAGATTCACAAGGGTTTGTACAAACTATCTTTATAATTGGGTAAAAAAAACCCCTCGAGCAGCTCGAGGACCTGCTGGGAAGTGTTCCCTGCTCCCTGTCCAGAGTCTGCCAAGTCTTGGCTGTTCAGGACTGCAAACAGGCTCCTGAACCTCGACCCTCTAGTCACCTGAATTTGCTGGAAGTAGGAAGTTTTGACACCAAATGTGATTTGTGAAAACATGACAGATTCCACAGAGGCAGTTCTGACACCTGCTTGTCCCACAAAGGCCAGAGTAAACAGCATGATCAGGACAGCTGACAAAGACTCAGTTTGTCCCCAAGAACACTCTGTGTGTCTGTACTGCTACCTAAACGCCAGTGCTCCTCAAAACATGACCTACCTGCCACATGCAAAAGCCTTCAGAGACAAATCTGGGCTGGGTGATTCCTCCATTCCCTAGGTAGATCTAATAGAAAATCACCCAAGTACAATTCCAGCCATGTATTTTGAATTCAGAAGTAAAATTTAACTGGACTTTTACTAATATGTAATTCCCCAAATATTAGAACCTTTCCACAGAATTTGAGATTTTGCTCTTTATCATGTTCCAAACAGGGATTGCCACAAGGGACATCAAGGTTTATACAAGCAGTATGTTCTTTTTATATAAATACGTTTTTTTTAAAAAAAAGAGTAAACTCTTAGGTCATAAACAAATACGTATTTCTAGCGTGGTTTGCTCCTAGGAACTCTCTGACCTTTTCAAAATCCAAAGCTTATATACTAAAAATAGAAACAAAAAGGAGGTGGGAGAAGGAGGTGTGGGGAAGAACCACAAGATCCCAAACATGGATCAAACAAAGGCAAACCTGACCTAATTAAACCTCTCTATCCTCAGCACAAACACACAAAAAACTATATTCCTTCTGCCAACTGGGGCAGAAAAGCAAAGTATTTTCTTTTATGAGCATGTGAGTAAATCAATATAAATTCATAAATTAAAAATATGAAGATTATTTTAAGTATTGGTCATCACCAAATTTTCACCAACACATGCACTACCAGTATTGTAAATCTCCATCCACAGTATTCTGACAGTAACAGAGTAACAGAAGCCTTCTGTAAGTATTAGAGAATTCTGACCTACTGTATATTGAATTTTCTTCCTTTACAACTCAAGTCTTTGGGAATACTTAAAATACCACTGTTTTCTCAAAATGTAAACACTCTGCCTGCCCCCTGTCTGCTATTATTTTCTTTTTATTTTGTGATTTTCATCAATCATCAGTTAAATGAATTATGCTACTTCAACCACATTAATCCTGTTCTGTAACTGGAAATTGAAACACTAAAGTAATTTGTCATATAGTTAAAGATAAGATATAAAATGCAGTTGTCTAACTCATTTTAAAGTGTTCTTTGATATAAGGCACTCAGAAGTGCAGTGGTAAAACATCTTCTCTTTTGTTTTCAGGATGGCTTCACTCCTAAGCAAATTCAGAATAAAATTTGCTGATATTAATATCATTTGTGATATCAATATAAAGCCCAACAAAGAGAGGTAAGAAGCATTACCAAAATCCACTATTTAGAAGCCAGCCTTTAACTAGAGCTAATTTCTTTTATGTCGAAAATTTAAAAAAAAAAAAAACAAACAAAAAAACCAAAAAACACACTAAAAGAAAACACAACACAGAAAATAACACTGTCACTTCATTGTAATAATTTTCTAAGTACCAAGAGCAGGAAAAAGAAAAGAATCTCTTAACAATCACAGCTTAAAGGGTGAAAACCATGTGTAATCTTTTTCTTTATGTTGTAAAGACTAATTAGACGCCATACTTAAGAGCCACTAAATTTAACAGACATTTTATGATGACTTCTCATATTTATTTAGGCTGCAATAGACTCCAGTCAGTCACAGTTCTCCTGTAAACTTGCCATTGCTGTCAACTGAGCCTTCTGGGTTTCACAATAAATTTGTAACATTTTTCTGGTCAAACACAAGCATACATCCTCTGTCCCATGAGGACAATATTATAATGCTCCCCTGTCAGTCAGGTATAATGTAGGCTTAAGATTTTTAAAATTAACTTATCTACAGAATTAATGCTCTTATGCAGAGGTTAGGAAGTTGGAAAAACAGTGCTCAAAAAGCTCCACCCCCAACTGTGTGAGCTAAATAAAAAAAACCAAAACTTAAAAAGTCCTTGTTTTCTAAGACATATCTCCATAGAAATCATCCATTTGTTCTGCTCATGTAACAAAAGTATACAGCACGCTATTCAGGGAATAAGTAAATCCTAAATTCAATTCACAGTATTGCTCTTAGCCTTAAAGCTCCTCTGAAAATGTGCCCACCTTGCTACACTCTCTTCCATCCCATCCCTTACTCCAACCAAAGCCTTTCCTCTGGGTTCAAGTGCAATCCCAGGTTAGGCTCTTCATCATTCTGTGTCCCATTTCTGCACACACACAGAACTTTGCAAAAATAATACAGGATTCACCAGGGTTTCTATGGACCATTGGAGATTTTGACTGAAGAAATGCAACTAAAGAATATAAAGATTTAATAACTAGATACCTAAAGTCCCCTTTTAGTGCCCTCAAGTAATATTTTTTAATAATATAAAGAAATGTGCAATACATATCTTGTTTTTCCTCCAGTATAATAGAGTGATTTTACATAAACAAAAGCTATGAAAAAGAATTCATATCTGGCTTTAACATAAAAAACACACACATTTGCTGCATCAGCACTATATGAACTGAATAAGTGAGTTGTATGCCAGACACTTGCCAGACAGACCACTGTATCTCTCTCTCAGCTGGCACCCCATCTATTTCATTAATAAGAAGAGGATTATCTCTATTTTACATACTGAAACAGACAGTAAGGATGTTGACAAACTCTGACATTTAGCAACAGCAACACGAAATGCTGCATATGACAGCCTTTAACCCAGCTCTTGGCTTCCTGGCCATACAGTCAAGGCAGCCTGTGCCCAGTCTCCCACCTCACAGCAAGGCTGTCAGCACAAGTGCTCAGAGAAACACACATCCGTACAAAAGAAACTCCCTGAGGTCTCTGTGGGATACTAGACATTTTCAACAATAGGCAAGCAAGGAACTACAGAAAGACAATAAGGTTCTCCAGATTAAAACATTCAAAAGTTTAAGAAACTACTTGAAATTTAGAGAGAAAATCGGAACACAATTCTGAGTCCACACACAGCAAAAAAACCCACAGTGCTTCCTTCAGCCCCTTTTCAATTTGTATCACCTGTTTATCCATTGCAGTAAAACTATCAGTAAAACCATATCAGTAAGGTGACTGGTCCAGCCAGTGCTGAAACAATAACAAAATGTTCAGTATTCATGAGGAGACCCATCTTCATTTTTAATATTAGTAACCAATATACTGCAGTTTGGAGTTACTGTAAAACTGATTTCAGTATTTTTGCTAGAACCAGGGCAATGCAGAAAATTCTCCGCTAAATGCAGTGTTCAATTATCCTCAAATAACCTTTTAATCATCCTCAAATAACCCAAACATACAGAAGTGGCACAGATATAACTTGGGGCACAATGCAACAAAGAATAGTTAAAGATTTTGCATGTTTTTCACTTATAATTATTATCAGTGAAGCCCACCATACAGAGTGACTGTGAAATAAGTTAGTGAGTTCATACCCTGCAGCAAGGCCTCTTTTGTAATTCCTGTTTCAGCTGGAAATTCTTTGAAGAGATGATTGAACCATATCGCCTCCATGAAAGCTGCAAAGATATAACAACTGCTGAGAAATTAAAGAGAGAGACTCCATGGAAAATTACAGATGCAGAGCTGGAAGCATTCAAGGAGAAGGTAAAGCCTCACCTACCTTTTTAGATATGTACCTTTTCTTACCAAGCAGATGTTTGAAGTGATTAGTCAGAAAAAGTGAAATACCAGATATGGCATTAGAAACATGGCATGTACAAACCTGCATTTGATATTTACAGATTGGATTTATATTGTAAACACTGCAGAGGTGTGTTTTGATTGCTTTATTGAGCTCTCTCAGACCTTGGCATGTTTACACAGTATTTTCCAGGCTGATGAGAAGCTCTGCCCACATCAAAGCCAGCCAGATGAAAACCACCTCTGAACCAGAAGCCACACAGTTACTGCACTGAGCCTGAGCTAATTGGGTCTGCTGAGGTTTATTGAATGGCCCCACTCTTTTGGAGCTTGAATCTCTTAAAGAGTGCAGTTCCAAACATTCACCACTTTGGGCAATTTAGAACTGAATCCAAACACTTCAGCTAAGGCTAGAAATTTCTGCAAAGGCAGAGTTGAGCATGAATTCTTACCCCATGTCTACCATGCAGAAGGTCTCCTGCAGTCCCGAGGAACTTCAAGGCTGATGCTAGCTGATCCACTGGGTGAATTACAGCCCAGTCTGCTCTTTAAATTTGTTGGAAAAATACCTTTTGACCAATGAACCGCCAGGCTAGTGACAAAAGGATGCGAAGTCTTTGACCCTTAAGAGACAAGTTCTCCTGTAACTCAGAGAGAATTATCTAGCAATTTTAGTTATGGTTCCTGTGGAATTAACCTGAGTACATCGGGAGTTTAGTTATCTCCACTTTATGATGCTGGTAACTTCCTAAGCAGAGCAAGCATTGTGACTCTGAGTTGCCAGAAGTCACAGCCTGACATATTAACATAAGCAGAAATCAATGATGATTTAAGATATCACACTATCCTACCGACTGCAGCAGCTGGGAAGCAGACTGACTGCTCACTGCATTACCCTCTTCGTGCAGCTGATAACCAGCATAAGGTTATAGTACTCAGCTATGGGCAGAAAAACCTTAGAATTATTCTTACCTTAAATTATTAAAAATTGAGAGTCAGAGCCCTTAGAACACCTTGGTATAAAAGACAACAGGAATATAATCACAGACACTTGTATGCAGAATCAGTGAGGATATAACAGAAAAAAATCCCGTGATTAAGCTTGGTCTTTTCTAGGTTACTAATTAAGGAACGAGAAAAATTCCTCAGAAGCTGGAAAGAGCAATATTAAAATGCCAAATTACTCTGTAAAACAAGAACAGCAACAAAAAGTTTAGCTTACACATTTGGAAAGACATGCCCCTTTATCTTCAGAAGTAGGGCAGTTCTGGGAATTTTTTACAGAGGACATTAGAACACATGTACAATTCAACAGAGAAAAACCTGGCAGCACAGATAAAGGGTGATGTTAGAGGATGATTCTCATGAGGTAACAGCTGGCTAAATTATGAGGGTTCTTACCTATATAACATGTACAAGAACACTGAAATTTCTGTAAAGAAGGAAAATTTAAGGTCTGAATGGAGAAAAACCTGCTTTTTACTTTCTCCAGAGAAAGAGAAAATAATTTACAAAATCAGTTAAGATATATCTATCTTATACAAACCTGCCCTGGTCTCTTGTTCCCTGTGACTTGTGGTTAAATTATAAAAATTTTGAAGGCTTGAGCCCGACCATAAAGTAAGTTCAGTACAAAAATAATCCCTATCCCCAGGAAACCTTACACGGGTGAACCATTAGTGGCCCTAATGTAACTATACTAATCAGTGTGGCTTAGCCTCATATTTTGCCATTGCTGAGACTCTGGACCCCAGAGCAGACCTGGCTTCCAGTGCTGCCAAAGCAAGAGCAGAAAATCTTGCAGGCAAGGGGGAGTGTAGAAGTCTGTAAGACACCAGAACTGAGGATCACTGACCTGATTTTTTTCTTTTCCCTGTTGTGTTTTAATCAGAGTTACCGCCAAGTCCGTCTGAATGAACTCTTACAGGAGCACTCCAGAGCAGCCAACCTCATTGTCCTGTGAGTTGCAAGAGTTTTGATTCTAAGAATAATTTCTAATGGGATTCTGGACTCGAGCTACAGAAACCCTTGTGTTAATTCACTGAGCACAAAAGTAATCTTTTAAGTACCTTCTGGAGGACTTGCATCTGGACTGATGGTTCTCTGGGACTGCACTGAATATGAATCTTTCCCGGTGATGAAGCAATTGCATAAAGGAAAAGAGGCTACCAATAAAAGAACCCAAAAAAGGCCCTTTCCAGATTTTTATTTACACACACATTTTTTATACACAGCTTCAATAAATTAGCTTGCACTTGTGATGCACAGATAAACCTCTACAGTTCTATTAATTCAGTCTCAAAAAAAGAGGTGGTCATGTAATGCTTACAATAAATTGACCCATATTTTAGAACTCCCATCTCACAGTAACTGCAGATGAGAAAATAGGCTGATGGACTGCAAAACTGTGCATGTGTTGCATTTTTATCCTTTTAAAAAAAATCATACTATGTGTGAGTTTTATGACTCCAAAAATATTCTTTACCAGTTTAAGGCTACGAATCACAAGCAGTTCATGTCCAGTACAATCAGGTGAGAAGGGTTTGCAAATTAAGGCCTTATGGTATTAAAACAATCTTCTAGTCTAATTATATCAGAGTTGTTGCATGTGAACAGTGATGTTTTCTGCTTATTATTTAATGGGAAGCCTGGGCTACCCCTGCCTTCATAATGATAATTTTATTTTTCCCTCTGCCCAAACAGGAGCCTCCCTGTAGCAAGAAAAGGAGCAGTGTCTGATTACCTGTACATGGCTTGGCTAGAAATTCTCTCCAAGAACCTTCCTCCAATCTTAATGGTCAGAGGCAACCACAAAAATGTACTGACTTTCTATTCTTAGAAAAACAGCAGTGCCTGGAATACGCCTTGCTTGATTCCAACAGCTATGTTTTTAATGGCAATGGCTCATCAAAGACATATTCATTTAATACAAATCTAAAACTTTAATAACTGACAGAAATTTTTTCAAAAATCCAAAGCAACATAGCAAAGAATTAGATAAAAAAATGTAAATGGTCTCTGTTGGTGTTACACTCCAGTACAGGCAAAAGAAGGAAAATCTACCTGTATGTCATACGAGACAGAAAATATTTTGAGCACACAAAGAAGAAATTCTTCTGATTTTATAAGGTATTGAAAAAGTTTGTGATATTTATCCTAGAAAGCAAAAATTAACTGTGATAATACAGAAATCACTAAATCTCTAAATAATTATTTCAGATTGCACTATCATAGTTGCTAATGAGCACACAGTAGGATTAAAATGAAATGCACAACTTGTGAGACAAAAACCTGTATGGCATCCATCAGGTGTAAGTCGTGAACTGATAGAATGCAAGTAGAATACATGCAATGCTTTTTGATTGTAATATTGCCAAATTAAGACCTATGCCTACAGCAGATGCTTTCACCTAAAGTGTTCTGCTAATTTAAATTAATTCAAACACTTCTAATTTAGTGACAAACAAAAAATTAAGATATATAGAAATATGGACTCTATTACAAGACTTGATAATGCACTGTCAAGCTCTGACATGCAATGGAATGTATGATTGAAATAATTAAATGTGGTAAGTAAATTTCACAAAAAAATTAGTAAAACACTAAATATTCTAACAACTTTTGCTATGAATGTTAGGGTTAATACAATCTGACGTATACATTTGGATAATACGTACAGTGATTTATGTGATTAGAAAACAAAAACTCATTAGCTGAGTTGAATGCCTTATTTTTGATTTATATAAAAGATTTCTCTCTTTTTTGACTTTCTAAATAATATTAATTATACACTAACTAAAAATAAAGGCAATTCATTAAGTTGTGTAATTTTTCTATTTTCTACTCTGCAATGTTATGGTAATTTATAATTTCAGCTGTCATGAAAAGCTGCTTCTCTTTCTAATGGGTAAAGCTATATCCTATGTGTAAGCAGTATTTAAATTAAAGACCATCAAGGAACATGGCTAATTCATTTTCTGTAGTCCTGCAACTCCTTTGCAGAGATAACCAACATCTAAGCCTCATGAAAGCCAGGGAACCCTGAATTTCACTAAATGTATATTTTAAAGCAGGCCTCAGCTTCCATCTTGCTTGAATTATTAGAACTTGTAGTGCATTTAGCACTCTATCTCCAAAAATGACAAATATTTAATATTCATATTTTTTTTTAGTTCAACAGCAGCAATTCAGCAGAAAATAGTAATGAAGCCCAATAATCCATGCTTTATTTTCTCCATCTATTAAAGGCAGGATATTAAATATTGATATTTTCTCACAATGTTCTTCCTTTACTTCTTACACATTTACAATCAGGCTGAAGGATCATTTAACAATCTGACTGCATTACACAAAAGTTTTCTCCATATACCAGACTTCCTGCACAACTCTGAGCAAATTAAAACTCACATTCTGCACCTGCAAAACAAGATTTTTTTCATCCTTCACAGTGATGTCAGCAGTGATACTGGAGCTCCTTACGTGCTGCCTGGTCCTTGCAGCTCCTTGTAGAATTGTAATGGTCACCATCCTGTCCACCTCCCCTCACACCACAGATACAACCTGAATGGCACCTAGCCAAAGCCAAGCTTTTGGGGAGGCTCCACTCGGGCTTTGTGTGTTTCTTATCACAATCTACACAAGGACCTGGAGGAGTTATACACCTCTATTAAGCCCTTGAATTATGTACATGGCTAGGGATTGTTTCCTAAATATTTCCAAGTACTGTAATTCTCAATCTATAGGGAACATTGACCCAAACTGTTCTGGGGGACCTAAGCAGGTCCAAAAAGAGAATGAGCAGAAAATGAACCAGCAATGGCACTTTAAATATTATTCACACTTCTCTCTCACAAACACACTGCTGTGGGCATTGCAAAAATAAATCTCAAGAGATACCTTTCTAAATAAATAGTCATCAAAAACTAAGTACTAACATACACATTTCTATAAAATTTCTTGCTTGCACTACAGTGATTAATTAGCAGACGTACCCACACAACAGTGCAATGGGATAAACTCAGGATGCAATAGCACTTAACTACCTGAAGGTGTTATTTCCACAAATTCCCAAGTAGTTTAAACACTTTCCTAGCAGCTTCTATGTCCTGTTCCTCACCATGATTTCTGAATGTGTGTGAAGAGTATACAAATATGAGAGTATTTGGGAGAGTACACTAATTATGGACTATCTTAAATTGCAACTTAGATTACAACATTTTGTTAGTCCACCTACCTCATTTCCAACTCTGTAAGAGACACTTCTTTATATAAGTTATGCACAAAACAAGTGCTGAATTTTAATCATCAAGTTAGTAACTGAACTCTAATTATATGTTTACATCTCTAGGAAATATACAGCTCTAATGCACTCTAGCACATTTTTAGCTTATATCACACTACCAATTCTCCAAGTTTACATAATTTAGGCTGGATTTGGTCAGCCACTAGAAGAGCAAGCAGAGGTAAAGTGACTAGGGACATTTAAGGGTGAAAATACCATTGCCATGAAGCAAGAACAAAGAATATTTTAAATTTTTTTCAAATGCCTAGGCATCCTGCAGAGCTAAGCTTGTGCCTAAAGGCCTGTTAAAATGATCCACTATGGTTCCTCTCATCCCTCCTAAGGTTAGTGGAGCTCCAACAGGTATCACAGAAGGCATTTCATCCATAGTTCAGAGATTACACTTTCCTGAAATCTTTTTACAACCACTGGCAAGTTGCCCATCTTGATCACACACCCCTAAAGCACGGTCCAGATTATGCTATCCAGAACAGCATTCTTTCAATGTGCCTTTCATTAGATTTTTCAGTCCCCAACAGAGATTCTTTTTGAGGGGATTATTTCTTTATTTTATTTTTAAATCAGATACCCAGCAGTGCAAGTAGAAAAGCTACCTAACCAAAAAGGCATTGCATTGTGAGGATAAACAACTGAAACTATATTGTAAAAAGCATGTTATCCTACTTCACACTCAAAGGAGTTTCCACTCAATCTTTGTCATCACATAGTACAAAGCTCCAGCCACCAGCATAGGACATTTCATCAGTCTTAAACCTCTGCAATTTTCTTTATATCTTTGAAAAGTCCTACCAAAAGCTTTCCTGACTAAGCAATAATAATCCTCAGAAAACCTAGACATTTCTCATTTTTCTCCCAATTTTTTCTCTCCAATTCTATGTGGGATTTCATGACGTTTTCAGCAAAAGCAGCTTCAGCAACTGATAAGTAGTTTACAAGCAAGAGACAGGTACCAGGAATCAGCACTGCAGTTGTACGTATGGGGCAAACAGCTACAAGCAGTCTTAGTTACCACTGACTCATTTAATTTCCCCTAGCTGTTTGTGACCTCCCCTCAGGCAGGGGTCCCTGACCTATCAGCAAAGCTGGGGAAACAGAATGTGAGTAACCCTCAGTATTTTCAGCCTGAATTTCAGGGGTCTCCCTCAAACTTCTTCCTCTGGTGGTTTGGCATCACTGGACTTGAGTTAAGTGAGCGTGGATCACTCCAAGATTCTCCTCGCTCTCCCTTGTTGCCTCTCCAGCTCTTGGCAGCAGAGCAAAAACCTTCAGGGCTGCAGTTCTTTGCTAAATGAGTGTGACTCATCCCTCAAGTTACAGATGAGGAAAGTCAAGGTTTTGCAAGTGCTGTGCTTCAGCAGAGGTCAGGTCACTGTTTAAACATCTGTTCATGCTGGTACCTAGGGCACAGCCCCTTGGCAGCTGTGTAGGCCATCGAGACCATGTGGCCAGCATTGTCAGGGAACACCTCACACTGGCCTTGGCCCTGCAAGGAAAAATGGAAACAAATACAGTGAGTTACAGCTCACATTCTCCACAAACAAGTGCAATAATCCACAGTCATGCTACTGCTGGAATTTCATCAGAGGAAATTAAGTTTTAAACAAAATCAAACACGCTAAGGTTGTCTGGAACAGAGTAAAAAGCAATGGCAAAATTCCACAACCCCCACGCTGTACTGCAAACATGCAATCGCAAATAGTTTCATTATCAACAGACAACATCATAACAGCCTTTTTAAGGTACAAACTTTAATCATTGTGAAAGAGACAGCTGTGCTAAGTAAGAATGGGATGGGAAGTTACTTTTTCTAAGCCATGGTTTTCTTCTAATAAAAATCCTCATTTTAACACTAAAACTTCAGTGCAGAGAATTTTGTGGCTACTATCCCTGAAAGAGGTTCTATTTTTTTCTGTGTACAACAAAGCAACCTCCCAGCAAAAAGGCAGACGATTTCAGTTTATCTCAGTATTGTTTTTCAAGGTCAGGAGGAAATGCCCGATGGAGAGCAGCACTAATCAGCGATCAGGAATGCAGGAAGGTTTACTATCGACAGAGCAAGCAACACATTCCCAGAACCAAGGTAAACTTGGTTTTAGACTTTCAGCATAAGGTTGGGAGGGGAAGGGGGGTTCCCCTTGTAAAGATCTGGGAAAAAAGCAAGTGTCACTCAGCTGAGTCCTTTCTCCTTAATATCTTTGGATGAGTCCTCCTCTCTCTTATTAATGGGCTTAAAGGCTACCTCAAGCACAGTTTAGAACCCAGCCAGACACCAAGCCTAGTCATTCACAAAATCGTTTTTTTCTACACTATAACGCAGGATGGAGTCATAAACTCTATAAAGTCCTGCTTATATAAACCTTTACAATTAGATATTACTTTGATACAACTTCAATTCCTATAAACTTCATTTTTTGGATAGCTTACATCAAAGCCATGAAATATTTTAAATAGCTTTCTGCCATTAAATATTTTAAGTAGCTTTTTCACATGGGTCTGTGTTACATACATGTTCTCTTTCAAATGGTGTATACTATTTAGACTGAAAATACTGAACAGGAATAAAAGAAAGCCCAAATTGGGACATTCTTAAAAATACCTTTCACAACTGAACTGCAATGTGTAGCAAAGGTTTCACTGCCATCTGGCTGCATTTAGAAAATGTAACATCGCACAGAGACAATCACATACACTTAAGAGTTCAAAACAAAAATCATGAAGACTAGTTGTTCGACAAAATCTAGACCACCAAAAAGAATCCAAAAGTCTGTAGCTATTTTGCAGAGTCAAATACCTCCTTTAGCCTCATCAGGGACCATAGTTTTGAAACTATGAATCCAATGGATAGTCTTTTCAGCCCAGAGCAGACGCATAGGGGAAATTCAGGAAATTTCCTATTCCTAGGAATATCGGTATCTCCTGTAGAATCTATCTATATATCCTTCATATAGATAGATATGTAGATAGAAAGACATATATACAGGAAAAATACGAGGAAAATTACATCATAAATGGCATGGCAAGAGGGCAGAGAGTATTAAAGACAATGAAATGATAAGTCTTCTGCTCCAAGAAAGAAGAACAGGGTAGGCCGAGCACTGACAGGTTTTCCCATTCACCGCATCAAGAACTGTTCTCCTTTCATAAGGCAAACGCTTCTGTCATGGCCTGACCATTTCTGAAGGAGTCTCCGCCTCTACTCTGTGCAACGTGCTCTAAGATGTTTTAATAGCAGGATTAGACTCGTCACTCTCCAGAGGTCCCTCCCAGCCCCAACCTGCCCGTGACCGTGAGAGGTTGTTCGCATACGGGAAGGAGGACGGGCCCCGGGGCCCCTCTGAGGGCACCGTGACTTCCCGCGCCCCCCGCGCCAGCCCCGGCCCCGCCCGCCCGTGCAGCCGCAATCGCGTCCCCCGGCAACGCCGCGCGGCCCGCGGGGTCCGCCCGCCAACCCCCGGTAGCGCCGCCGCCGCCGCCCGAGGAGCGCCGGTGGGCAGGCTGCTGCCCGAGGGGCTGCCCTGGCAGGTAGAGCCCGGGCACGGGGAGAATGGGGCACCGGCGCCTCCGCCCGCGCCCCATGAGCCGTGCGGACCGGGGCGCGGAGCGCCGGGCGAGCGGTCCATGGCGCGCTTCCCACACGGCGACGGCGGCACTATGTTGGCCCGGTGTCTCCGGTGGCTCCGGCACCCCTGCGGGCGCTGTAAGAAGGGGTGGGGGAGTTGCGGGGGAGCACACGCTGCCCAGCCCGCAGCCCTCGGGAGCTTTGGGGGGGAACAGATGCTCCCCAGTGCGCTCTGCACGCCCCAGGGACAGCCCGGCCTCAGCACAGTGGCCGCGGTTTGGGGCGATGCGCGAGCCCCGCCTGCCACACGGGGCGGGACCCTCAATGCGGGCGCGGGGCACCCAGGAGGAGCTGGGTGAGGCCATTCTTAGCTACGGGGGGAATGGGGTTGCGCCTCGCTCGGAGAGGCCGCGGACGGGCCGGTTTCTCCCCCGCTTCCTCCCCCGTGGGTCGCGCCGGGTTTTGGCGGGATTTTTGGTGGGCGTTTCTCACAACGTCTCTTCTGGTCCCTCAGCCATGCCTGCTTCTGAGGCCGTGCCGCTGCCGTCCCCCAGCAAGAGACAGAAGGGCTCGGGGCCTGGAGAGGCCTCTACGCGGCTCCGCTTCACCAAGCTGTCCGAGAACGCCTTCGCCCCCTCCAGGGGCTCCGCGCGGTCTGCGGGCTATGATCTGTATAGGTGAGGGAGGGGGAGGGTGAGGGTACGGCCCCCGGGGTGGGAGCCCACGCTTGATGCCGGCCCCGCTCGGCGTGCCCTGGGCACGGGGCCCCGGGGCTGAGAGGGCTCTTGTGGCCTCTTGTCGAGCTGAGCCCCCGGACAGCGTCGCTGGCCATGCAGGAGAGGAGGCCAGAGCTCACCTAGTTGTAGCTCCCTTGCTCCATCCCTGACTATTTTCGAGTATCTGTGGTCCAGCCATGTCACAGCACTGATATCATCAGGCACAGATGCTGTGCTGTGCGTTGGCTAAAAGTCAGGCTTGATAGAGCATCCAGAATTGCTGTTGGTGCTCACATTGGCCACGTTGCGTTCCTGTTGAAAGGAAAAAATGGTAGTGCACGTGGGCCCTCCTTGGCAGCTCTTGTGCTTTTCTGCTTTCCTCTTGGCTCCGGGGCTGCTGCCCGCCAAAGGGCGTTGTAGCAGTTTGATAGTGCTCCTAGCTGGAAGCCATCTGGGTTGACATACAGACTTAGGTTTGGGTTTGTTTGAATTAATAATGGCCCTGTTTCAATGGCTTTCAGTATGTTCATTCTATGTACAGAATACCTGTACATAGACCTGTGGTTGTGTGCTTAGTGCTTCTGTGATCAAGATACAAGTTTTGAACGAGTGAACTTTCCTGCCACCGCTTCTAACTTACCTTTTGTAGTATTATGTAGAATAACCAGCCTTTTTCTTCCTTCACCTCTCTGACTTCTTTCCTGAAGATTTACTGCACCACACTTAACCTGTTTTTCTTCTTATCCCTTTCACCTCACCAGGCTTGTTTTTGTTCTTGTTCCAGTGTTGCACCATAGATCTGGAAAAAGTCTGTTTTATAGAAAACCTTTCAGTGCTTCCCAGTACTTAAAAAACAGTTCTTCATCAAGGTCAAGATATGACAAGTATTGTCACCACTGCTTTTCATTAGGCCTCCAGTTAGGTAGCTTCAGCAAGTTCTTAAAATCTCTGTAGTTCAGAGTTCCCAGAAGAATCATGTGAATCATGAACTGTCAGACTGCTCAGAAAAAAAGGTGTTGCCTAAAAGTTAACTTAATAGATTATTAATTTTTATTACAACTAGTTTATCTGCTGTAGAAAGGGTAATCAGACTGTATTATCCATAAAGTTTCTGCTTTTGCACAAAAAAAATGTACAACCGTGTTCACCTAATGGTTACTTTAAAGTTAAGCTTGTATTTTTTGCCTATCTTATCGATTAAACAAGCATTTCAAACTGGCAATTACCAGGAATCTGCTGTTCAAATGACACTTCTGGAATCTTAAACTAGCACTATTGGAATGACAACATCTTGTGTTTTAGGATCTGCATTACATTTTGCAAATCTGTAAATATTTGTTGTTTAAATTTCATGGTATGAATTCCCAGGTAGATTAATTCTGGGTAATTTTGAACCTTAAGTTACAGTAAAGAAACTTTTAAAATATTCTCTATAAACTAGTGTTTCTTTTTTAAATGTAGTGCCTATGACTGTGTGATACCACCCATGGAAAAGGCTGTGGTAAAAACAGACATTCAAATAGCACTTCCTTCTGGATGCTATGGCCGAGTGGGTAAGTACACAGCTGTCAAAAAGCTGCAGAAGAACAGGTTTGACACCATCTTCACATTTAGATTCTGCCTCAAGCTTTCAGAATGAGTACACAAAAAAGAGATGCCACATGACTATGATTTACTAAGTGTTGTAACAGCGATTTTCTTGTTACCTGTTGTCAGATGCATTTGAGGTTTGGTGTATATCAAGTGACAAAAGGATGATCAGCAAAAATGCCTGTACTCTACATACATATACATACATACTCTTATAGACTCTGCAGTAGTTCATTATTTCTCTGCAGTTTCAGAATTCAAATCACAAAGATTAATAGGTAATGGACATATAGAAAATGCATCCCTGGATGTTTAAAAATCAACCCCAGAGTAGTAGAATTTGATTACATATTGTGACAGAATAATTGAAAGAACCCGTTCAAGATAGTCTGTTTATTTTGTGCATTCTTTATCTGAATTATGTATAAATTCTTAAAGTAAAAAAGCAACAGCCACTCCAGTGGAAGAACATGATCAGAGTTTGCCATGTCCTTTAATGTAAAAGAACACATGCATTTCTCTTAACCCAAAGAAAATTTTGAAGATCATATCGTTTTTAGCTCCTCAACACATTAGGCTAAGGTAAATAAAAACCCAAATCTCCACACATAATTTATCTGTGTGTAATACTACTTAGGAAATTGCTTGCCAAATATTGTTTTCCTTCATAACTTAATCGACCTAATATTCTTCTGAGATGATGCTGAAACAAAAATAAACTAAGATTAGACCATCTTTGCTCTAGTTGCCTTCTTTGGACTACTCTGCAATTGCAGGTCAAATAAAGATACATTTCATTACTTAAAGAGTGCAATTTTATTGTAGCCTGTTGCAGCTGTTACTCTGTTTAATATATATGTAAACTCTTACAGTAATTCCTGTAATATGTTTATTTTAAAAAGACTGGAAACAACTATCATTGCCAAGACTGTGCAAAAACACTGTATAATCTATAAATACTGGGTTTTTTAAAAGAAATAAATCATAATACTTACGAAATTCTCTTATAGCACCACGTTCTGGTTTAGCTGCAAAGCACTTCATAGATGTTGGAGGTAAGCTTTTTGTTCTTTTTATTAAGACTTGGTAAATATTGATCACGGAAGTGCCTTAGTTTCACTTTGTTATTTGCACTCTGCAAATAAATGATGTCTTCTTGGGTAGTCTAGCAAAAGGATATACCTGGGTAACACCTGAGAGGTCATCATAATTATGTTAAATCTTGCTTAATTAGAAAAAAGATTACTGATTTTTTAAAATAATAAATATCATCCTTCTGTAGGTAGTGCCTGCCATAGAAGTTATTTTTTGGCTTAGGCATTAAAAGGTGACATATGCTGGTTTCTCTATTTTTAAAACCAGCAAGTTAACTTGAGAATTGCATGGTTTTTTAAATTTTCAGAACTCAGGGGGGATACTCCCACTGTTACTAGCACCTTAATTAGGAAGCTGTTCAGAAATGCCATTGGATTAACCCAAACCATTACATAAGAGAGCTGTGTAAATACCTTTTCCACCCTGGAACTACTGCAGAGATTGCATGGTAGCTATAGATCATATGCACTACAATTTTTTCAAAAGCTGAAGGAACTACTTTAAAAAAGGTTTTTATTCTTAAATGTACATTTTGTGGTTCAAGATTAAAACTTCAAGGTACACTCATACTACCAGAGAGGCTGGAAATACATTTCCTCTCTCTGAGAGAAATATTCTAAAGAAGCAGAATATAATTATTTTAGTGTGCACTGGTAGCTAATCTTCTGAACTATGTAGTTAATACAGTCAAACAACATACAAGAGTAAGCTAGTTTTATAGTCTTGATACTTGAATATAACTGTATCATTTCCTAACAGCTCTGATTCTCTTACCTTGCCAGAGATACAGGATTTGGATCTGTGCAAATCCATAGCTCTCAATGAAATGTTAGATTTAGGAACAGATTTCTGCTTGACACTGAAAGAGCTGAAGTTAGCAGAACAAATGGAGCCTGAATTTGGTCCAGCTGTATTGATTTCAGATAGGGTATTACTACTAAAATTAGTAGTGCAGTGGTAAAGCACTTCTTGACATGTGATGGTGTTTTTTCAGTTCCTTTTGCAAGACCGATTAGCATTTTTAGATGTCTCAGTATTTGCATATAGTTGTGCATCAGAAGTATAAATATTATATATTATGAGATACTGTAATAATTTATTAATCTAAACCTTATCTAATCTAGTTATCTTATACACTGACATTTACTAACTGGGTATGTCTCAAAATTCTTTTCCATGACAGCTGGTGTTATTGATGAGGATTACAGGGGAAATGTTGGTGTGGTACTGTTCAACTTTGGCAAGGAGACATTTGAAGGTAAGTGTTAAGCCTGGCAGAGCCTATTTTCAGCTGTCTGACTGGGAATGAGAAACTAATCTTTTCTGTAAAAGTTTATGCAGAGGTAGAACTAGCTGGAAACATTTTCCTTCTCTCAGTTAACAAAACCATAGCTACTTAATAATGTCCTGTCAAGGGAACATGGAAAGATTCTACTCATTGCAAATTAAGCAGCATGCAAAAAAACTGCCCCCAAAACCACCATGCCACCACAAAAGCAAACCAAAGCATGCCTACTTAGCTAAGCTTTAGATTCACTAGCTGTACTGAAATACGACTTTGTATTAAGTTACTACCTTTCTCTGAGAAAAAATTAGCTGAGCAATATTTGCGAAAAAATTTCTCCAGAATTCTGAGAAACATGAGTAACAAAGACAGGATTTTCCCTTTATTATGCAGTCTTTCTGCAAAAAGTCAGTTTTAAGTTTCAGTGCCCAGTTAGAAGATATGTGCTTTTGTGGCCTCTTCTGCATCTTCATGTCACAAGCTGCTTATGGAAGTTCTGTGAGCCAGATTGGTTACTAGTGAGAAACTGTTTTCCTTGTATCAGTTTGCCTTCCCACCCCCCAGATTGCTGGGTCTAGTTCAGGAAAAGGAGCTGCATTATCCATACAGCTGTCTCTGCAGTACTTATGCATAATGAAGCTAAAATGCCAGAGCAGGGCAGCAGGAATGAATGGAAAGGCCTTGAGCTGGCACAGCTGCTGACACTCACCTAAGAAGGACCAAACAAAAGTTTATCTTAACCTGTATTTTTCTGGATCTGTTAACATCTGTTTAGCTAAGTTTCAAATAAGTGTTTTCATTTTTACTTTATTCTGATATTCTTGAAAAGAGATTGTCTAAAGTCTGCATTCATTGTTGACTTTTAGAAGGAGCTAACAATATTTTAACTTCTCTGCAGTTAAAAAAGGGGATAGAATTGCCCAGCTCATTTGTGAACGCATTTATTATCCTGAACTAGAAGAAGTTGAAGTAAGTTACCAAAAGAAAATATTTCTGTTTTTCTCAATGATTATTAAAGATACTTGTATATAAGATGAACTTTATTATATAGATAAAAACTTGGCTACAATTACTTTCAGTGGTAAAACTGCAGACCAGCAGTGCTACCTGAATGAAAGTCTTGATTCTTTGAACATACTCGCTTGGATTTCTTTTCTTTTTAATAAGTTTTGAGAGTTTTTGAGAAGCAGTTCAGTGTACACTAGAAATTATTTTCTCACAAGTATTTGTTTAAGCTTGTACAAGAGATATTCTAGAATGTCTCACATACATTTTTTTAGTTTCTTAATTATAGCTCTTGTTACAAGTAAATGATAGACAATATCTCTAATGTAGAAACAAAAGGCAAGCTAAGGCACTAAACCAGCTTACCATACTTGATGTCTTTCAGGCTCTGGATGATACAGAACGTGGCGAAGGTGGCTTTGGCTCTACTGGAAAGAACTGAAAATTACTTGAATACACTTTCTGTTGTTTTTTTTTTTTTTGTTGCTTTTTTGTTATACTATTTCTAACTTTTCATCTGAATTAGAAGTAGGAGTACATAAAAATATTTCAAGTTTTATTGAGACTTCCGTATATCTGTCCTCCTGTGAATTTATCTGCATAATCAGGAACTGTGCATGACTGGCTTATCTTACTAGTTGATGTATTATTTTTTCTTTCAAGATGTTTGGTCCACAGCAATAAGAACACATTGTTTGTGTGGCAATGATACTGTAATTAATGAAAAAATAACTTAGTGGGTTTTTTATTTTACTCACCTAAACTACAACAGCCAATTGTTCCCTTGCCAGTTTTTCTTAGACTTCTGAAAGCTATCTTCCACATGGCTCAGGATTTCATACTGAGAGCCTATTTCATACAGCATCAGTATTGAACTTCCCACTCTGACCCCTAAATCAGAATAAGACAAAGATATTTAATACTGCATCCTCTGCAACCTGTCCAAATACTTGTGTTTCTGTTCAAAGCTAAAGTTCTGACTGATCCTTAGCTGATCTTCAAATGGCCAGGTTTTCAGCTCTCTTATATTAAAAGAAAAAGCAATACAGTGCTTGAGTTAAATAACACAACTCAATTGGAAATTACTTTTGTGTAGTAAATAAGAGCTATGACATATGCTGTTGAAATATTTATTGCAAATTTATTATTACGTTACTATATGGAAGGAAAAATTCTGAATTATTGAAGCAGTGCACAGTTTGTTTTTTTAAGTTCACTTTCGTCCAGTTAATAGAGAATTCTTTTGGAATCTATCCTAAACCTGACCCAATAAGTGTACAGAATTTCTTAAATAACTCTCTAACTTTTAGGTGAAAGAACATGCAGAGAAGAGAAGAGAAGAAACAAAAAAAGGAAAGAAAAGTGACAATTTCTCCACTTTACATAAAAGAATTAGAAAAGTCTCTGAAGCTCTCAAACACTTTTTTCCTGCAGCTGTCTGTACTTTAAGATTTTCTTATCTAGAAGATCACAGGTAGTAAGTACTGTGCTTTAGGTTTTAGCAGTGGAAAGGAGTGCCCTTTATAGGTTGATGTTCATATTGCTCTTCTGCTTGGTCGTTTCAGCTCAGGATAATCGTGTCAGTATTATTTTCATGTTCTTGTCTAGGACTATTCTTAGTGAAGACTGCACATCTTACACATTTTATCTTGCCCACCCCTGCAAGGAGGTAGAAAATAAAGAGCAGTGTGACAGCACTCAGATCCCTTCAGCCATGGGATAGGCATTACACTGGCTTGGCAGTGCTGAAACAAGAAGTAGATTCATCTTTCTCTAGGGTAGAAGCCTTTTCCTCTAAGTGCATGATACACTTTTGCTGTTGGTTCTTACCCCTCATCACAACACTGTACTTGCATCTGTACACCCAGACAGACCACCAGGAGCAGGCACACCCTGCAAAAAGCCATTGTAAGCAAGGAGCACATACCAGTGCAGTCTACATGAACTGGGAAAGCTGAGCTTGACACTAAGTTTCTTCAGTTCAGTAACCTGCAAAAAAGGAACTTAAAGGCTATTTAAAGGTGTTAAAATCTATAATCCTTTTGTGAAAAGCTGTTTGCTCTCGCTGGACTGCAAGTCAAGTCAAAGTTTTGCTGCCATTTTTAGTTACCACCTCCCAAAGCAAAAACCTAGCAGAAGTTCCACTGATGCAAGTCCTTTTTTAAAAAAGATGCTACAAGATAGCCTCACTTGGAACAGCGACCTACAAGGAAGAAGTTGGAGTTCTGTTGATACTCATTTATTGTTGTACCTGATGGAAACTGATCTGATTTCCATTTTTGAAAATAATGCTATCCTACAGATTCTGAGATAAGTATTTGCTAGAATAAGCACAATCTCAGGAGCTATCTCGGACCTACGAGGAAAAAACAAATTTACATATGCATGCCTGCTGCAATTTGACAACATGAAAACAGTTACCTGTCATTGCCAGAAAAGGCTCACTTACTTTGAAAATCAGGATGGTTGAGTTCCTTTCCATTGCTTCTCAGTACTTCTCTAGAAAAGCGTTTTATGAGTTTTACATTGCTGCAAGGCCCTTCCCAGTAGGACCTTGGCAATGTTGATCTGAAATGAGATGCTTTCAACCTCACCTACACTGAGCTCCTCTGTGTGCACCAAGCCATTGCACATGGGTAAGGAATTCTGGTAATTCCTGTCAGTGTTGGGCTTTGCTTCAATAGAAGTAGCAGATCTATGAAAGACAAATACTACTACCCATGCAACAGGAGTTACCAATGTACTGAGAGTTCTTAAGTTGATAGTGCTACTGCAGATCGAGGCCTGCATTTGAAACTTGTAGAAACTTTGTACTGGGGCTGAGTAAAAGCTTCTTAAAACAGCATTTGCTACTCTGGTTCAAATCAATTTATATTCCCACAATTTCGTTAATGAATGAAAATGAAAATGAAAAACAATACCCTCCCAATTATTTTCATGTTCCCTTTTTCCTATGATATCTACGTTAGAAAAGTATATTATCTTGGTATCTGGCAAGAGAGAGGGGACTGGGAAACAGTCTTTTTCATTACTTTATCTGAGACCTGTCCTACCTATGTTACCTAGTTGTAAATTAGTTCTCTAATTCAGTGATGAACTGCCTAAGTGTGTCATAGAGTGCACGTGCTTCAGCTCGAGCAAGTAACTTCAGAGGTTACCCAGCAGTGTGCACAGGGCTCACTTCTATGTAGATTCATGTCTGCAGAGCCTGCCACTGGGCTGTGATCCCCAAGGCTCACTGCAGGTACAAAACTGCTGAAGAGATGTAAAGCTATTTCCAAAGTAACAAAATGAAAATCACTTAAAGTAAAAATTACATTGGACTGTTCTCCACTATCACTGACCAGATCCAGTCAAAGCTACTCTTTAATTCAACTACTTATCTGCAAGAGGAATTAACCTAAAGCTTGAAGAGCAATATTGTGGAACATACTCTGTGTAAATGAAACATGAAGCTTTTATAAATGAAAAGTAATTTGTTGGGAATTTTTATCTACAGCAGAAAAGAGCATTTTCCTGAAAGGAAAAGGACATTACTGACTAACAATCTGCTTCCCTTTTTTTAGAAATGGATTTGACTTGTTACAGGGATAGAGAAAATCTGGCCTTCCACCCCAGGTGAATGTGGAAGAAAACTGAGATGCTTGGCCCCAGAGCCATCTCCATGGTTTGAGTTCTATTGTGAGACCTGAGAGGGTTCTAGTTTTTTATTTCCGCTGCAATATTTGCAATAACCTCTATGCCTTTTAGAAGGGCAGAGGATCATAAGCTGATGAAGGTTTTGAAGAAACATGGGATTCCTATACAATTCTTACCACTCGAACTCTCTACTTTTGGACAAAAATCTTAAAAATTATGGCGGTAATACCACTGCTACCATTGATTTTTAGTTCTTTCTTTCTCACAGAGTGTTAACCTGGTGTTTAGTAGTTGAAAATTTAGGCATAGCTTCCTCGGCTCAGCCAGTTATATTACTCTGTGGCATGTTAGGAATTTTTATCTATTTAATGTTTTCTAGTTCAGCCACTAGATGGCACTTAAAGTTTGCTTTCTTTTCCACTTCTTTTTCAGAGATATTTTTCAAAGATCTGTTCATCTATAATTAAGAGTTGATGACTCCCACTGGGACTATGTTGGTGGAAAGCAAGATGCAGCAATATTTGAGTGAAAGCAGGCAAAAGTATAACCATTAAAGGAGGAACAATGACTATAATTTAAATAAGATTTGGGTGGTTGCAGTGTTTGCATAATCCCTCCTGGCATGCGAGAGCAGTAGAGAAGCCTGTGGCTTTGCTCTCCTGCTGCGTTTCAACAAAAATGGAAAATTGTAATGAACAGCAACATTTTTCCTATCTTTCGTATTCACTGTGTTCTTACTCTTTCTTCCTCCATTCCTTTAAGTGGAATGCAGTCTACTTAAGGATTGTATTGTAATGAAAGTAATGTATAGCCTGGTAAACTCTGCATTGGACTTTCCAAATCAGATGCCTCTGGCTGCAAGTTCACTTTATAAATTAAAACTTATTTAATACATGTTAACTCAGTAAGGGTGGGTGATATATAGTAACTTGAATTATGTAAGTTAAGGTAGTTTCTGTATTGGTTACTACTACTGTAATTACACAGTTTGGAGCTCCTGTATTTGTCTTCATCCTCACCTTCAAATTTTATTTTTTTTTGTTAAATAACTATCATTGTATTTTGGCTTAAAGATGGTTAAGTAAGTTTTGGTATTAAGTAAACTTCTATGACCCTGCCTATTTCCTGTCCTGTCAAACCTTTCCTTGTAAGAATAACAGTGTCCTTTTATTTGGTGGAGTGTAGCATGATGTTTTTGGCAGGCCCAACATTTTTGACTTGCATAAATTTGTGACCTCAAGTGCAAGAAAAGTGAATGCTTGCTTCAGTAACTCATGGTTTCTGCCTAAAAAGAAAAGTGTCCACATCGCTAACCATTACAATTTCTGAAGGAAAATTATCAGCACATTTATTCCACCTGATTTCACATGACTGCACTTCCAAAGAAAAGAACCAGAAATAAAATAAGTATTTTGCACCTAGTTATGTAAGTTACCGAAAGCCTGAAAATATAGGGCAGACTGTACTGCCTTACTGGTTTCTAGAATTGGCACACATGGCACTTCCCTCACTAACAGCTATTTGGCAGTCTCTACCTCAGTAAGGATGTGATTCTGCAAAGTGTAAATTTGGGTCTGCTGCTGGGCAAAGAATGTCATTGCATGGTTAAAGGTTGCAGATGAAGTGAATTTACATAATTATTTTCCTAAACTTTCCCTCCATTAACTGTGTGGTTATTTAGCTCTTTACCACTGAAGTGATGCTTTTGCCTTACTTAGAACACAGCAAGAAAGCCTTTTACCCTGCCAAGTCTGAAAAATTGACAGATTAATTTTATAATTTGACAACTCTCATCCAGAAAGCAACTGCTATATTTTATCATGTAAAGTATGTTTAAAGAAACACATGTGAGCTGTGTATGCCTGTTTAGTTGTTTCCCCTTAGATTTTGGTCTTTTTTTTTCATTGTCACAAAAATTTTGTATTAATCTTCAGTATTTTAGAGAACATTTGTATTGTATAATTTGTAACAAATGAGAGTTTTGTATCAATCAATACTGCTCATAGCCTTGAATTGAAGAAAGTTACCTTTGTCTACTATTGATGGTAGCAAAGGAATTTGCTTGCTTTCGTTTTGTAAAAGGAAAAAGGAAAAACAAAC